GCAGTGAAAGTTTGTGAGTTTTCGTGTAGTTAGTGTATCTGACAGAAGCTGATCCAGTAAAATATTGTAAGTCATATTTTTCTACTTATATTCCAAGAGTCACTGTTCAGGCCAACGAGAGATTCAGTTTATCGTAAAGAAAAGATATTCCAAGAGTCATTTTTCACTCAGGCCAACGAGAGATTCAGTTTATTGAGAGAAGAAGAAGCTAGCATAATTTGAACGATTCGTGCATTTGAAGGAGATCATTAAGGACAAGATACTTGCAATAATTTATTGTAAGATTGCTGATTACTTAGGTAGCGGCCACGAGTAAATAGTATAGTCTACAAATAACAAGGATTTGGACCACTCATCATCAGGGAGAGATAGTTTTGTTTTCTGCAGTTTTTCTTTCATTGATAACACAATTTTTACACTTAATTTAGAAAGGATATAAATATTTTGATTAGGAGATTTAGAGTAATACTTGGATTTTGAGATTTCAACTAATATTGTTTGTACCATTAATTTTGAAGGTTCACGTACGTAGAACAAAATTTTGAGAATCATTATATGAGATTTTGTTTATCGAAAACATTTGAGTGTGAATATTATTTCATTATTTTTATTTCAATATATAGTGTTATATCATATGTGTTTTTTATTATTCCGGTATTCTTTTTACCTTACCTTTCACATGTAATAGCATAGATATTGAAGCACGAATTTAACCCTGAGATAAGAGAATTAAAAATCACAATAATATATATATATATATATATATATATATATATATATATATATATATATATATATATATATATGTATATATATTGTAAGATTGCCCATGATAAAAAGAAATATCTCAAAATTGTCCATAATGATGAAAAAAATTTTTCGATTTGAGTTTTTTTTGTTTTTTGCGTTTTTTGAAAACATTTGCCATAGTAATGTATATTTGTTGTCACTATCAGAAAGTAGAGATTTCAACAAATAAAAAACACACCGACTTTTTTAAAAAAAGCTGATATTTTGATGCGTGAATTTTCGATTGAAAATTAGGGTGCTTTTTCGATATTAAATTAATATCAGGTAAAAAAAATTAATTTTTCAATTCCAAAAAATTACAGTGTGTTTGGTACATACTAAGGCAAGTTTTCACCAAATTTCGTAAAAAAAAATTTCTTTTGTAAAAGGTAAAAATAAAAAACCAAAAACTTAGTTTTTTGAATTTTCCACATAAATTTTGAGGTTATGTGAAAAAAGTGTAAATACAAAAGTTGTAGATCTTTTTATTACCTATAACTCTGCTTTTTAACTTTTTTTCCATAGCACTTGTAGTTTCGCCGAAAATCGCGATAAACCAATTTTTACCCTTAAAAACTCACCGCCTCCCACTTCCCGACCTCGGATGGAGTGAAATTTATTTTTTCTTCCATTTTTAGCATATTCTCTTCCAATAGGTTTCACTCTACTATAATTTTTTTTGATTTTAAAAATTAGCGACCCTGGTTTAAACCAGGGTCTTATTTTGTTTGATAAAATTGTTTGCAAAATTGACCCATTTTTCATTATTTTAACAATGATCTCGATATATAAATCCTCTCTCCCCTCCCCCCCTAGAACCTGCTCCATAATTTTATCTTCTTGTTCACACTTTTTGCATACAGGTTTGTCTACTATCTCCAATGTGTGGTGTTTTCTTAGTTGACAATGACCATTTAAAAAACCAACTGTCACGCGAGATTTTTCGTGGGCATTTCCAAGTACTTCTTTTATGCCGACTTTTCAAGGTTACTTAGTGTTACCTTAAAAAGTCTACATACTTGCCCTTCTTCCCATCTTTTCACGGTTTTCATGTAGAAGTGACACTTGAAAAATTCCACAATTGTTGTAGTTGACCAACCAAAAGGATCTCCAGGTCCTAAAAGTCTTAGTCCTGCCGCCTTCCTAGCTAATTGGTTAGCAATTCGTTTGCCTTTATTTCTGTTGTGTCCTTTAACCCACCTCAGTATGATGTTTGAGTTAACGACTCATGACACCCCCTTACTAACTCCGATATGGCACTTGGTGTATTCAAGGTTAATATCGCTTGTCTGCTATATGTGCAGATTATTATAGTTTTACCGGCTATACCTTTTTGGGTTATCTCTTTTTACCAGCTAGCTCTATCTGAACTACACTGCTATTTTTGCCCATACGCCACTTTATGCTTACTTCAGTAGTAGTGAAATATAAGTATGCCGCATCCTGAGCCTTCTTTCATTTTGAAGCCAACGGTGTATATATTACGCATTTGTTACGTTTGACTCCCTATACTGTCTTGTTTCGATTTGGTAGGCTTTTTCAAAAACAAACTTTGGTTTAATTGAGTCGCAGCCTGCTTGTAGCAAGGGCAGTGCATCCAGCTCTTCCCACCAGTACCAGTACCACCTCTTTAACATTTATGTCTAAAGGGGTGATGCCAATGAGCAACTCCATTGCAGTAATTGGTGTTGTTGTTAAGGCAAAACTTTCTTTTCAGTGGATCACCCTGGGCAAAAGGCACCAGGTGCATCAGACCGTTCGTCGACACTATTCATAGGATATATTTATGCTCTTTTAGATCTACCATCTAAGTGGGAGTTCCATGTTAACTTCCTGTCAAGATATTTTACTTCGTCAGAAAAGTTTAGACTATGGTTTAAAATCCTTGGGGTATTAAGCCTGTGATTCTTGTTTTACTAGTTAAGAGAACCATCTCAGTATTTTTATGATTTATAGATAGTGAGTGTTGCTTGCACCATGTTTCTATTAATCAAAGAGCAACTAATCTCTTATATACTGTATTCTCAAAATTACCGCTGTGTAGGACAGCAATATGGTCTGCATAGGGTATTGTGTAGAACCCATTGCTGCTGAGTTGGTCAATCAGGGTTTCTAAAACTATGTTTCAGAATGCTGATGATAGCACCCCTCCCTGGGGACACCCTTTCGTAATCAATCCCCTAACATAAAAGTCTTCTACATTTATGCTTAACGCTCATACTGAATATCCATTCGCGCACTGCCAGGGGAACATTCCTGACATTGAGTTAATGGGTTATGGTTCGGAATGTGGTTTTATCAAATGCTCTTTATGTCTATAAATATATCTAGGGTGAATTATTTATTATACAATGATCTTTCAATCGGAAGATCTGCTCGAAGTATATGCATGCTGATTTATGTGAAGTGGGTTATAAACCAGAACTTCATCCCTTATGTACTTCTCGCATAACCTTTTCATCGTTTGTAAGTTAGAAATTATGTTAGGCTAATTGGTCGGAAAGCCTTTGGTAGAGTGTAGTCCATTCTACCTGGTTTAGGTGTAAAGACCACATGTACCTCTCTCCACTTCCTAGGAATATATTTTAGAAGCAAGGTAGCTCTGAATATTTATACAAGGTTCAGCAGATGGATATCCAGTAGGTCTGGATATATGCAGTCAGGCACTGGTGACTTAAAAGTGGTGACACACGATATGGGCCATCTTACTATTTTCTCACTAATTATTGTTCTGACGAGATGCCACTCATTCACTGAGGGTATGATTATTGCTTCCGTCCAGTTTGGTGCTGTTGAGGTGCTAGAATCAGGTCTGAAGTGTGTAGAACTGTATTTTCATCAGGATCTCAAAGATTGAAAGTTTTGATTTTAAATTTCTTTGTTAATATACCGAGATGCCGATGTGTATCCTTTGATAGCACTTTTTGTAGCCTGAAAGTCTGTGGGAAATCTTCGTTTTTTCTCATAGAAGCATCTCCAAGCAGCTTTTTGATTGCGTTTGCAGACTTTCTTAAAATCTCTGAGGTTTGATTGATAAAAATCCCAATCCTCTTTGAGTTTGGTGCATTTGATTTCTAAATTTCTAAAAGAAGTGCGACAAAAATATTGTTTTTTATTTTACCTGTATTAGAAGAGCTTTACTAGATTAAGGATAAAGAAAACTTTCATGATGTTCGAGAAGGAAGCAAAGAAAATGGGCCTCCAAATCAAGGAAAACAAGACGAAATATATGTATATGAGCCGCCATAACCAAAGTAAAGACAAATCGGTCAGAACATCACCATCGATGACTTTAACTTTGAGCGCGTTAGCGAACTCAAGTATCTTGGAACAACAATAACTGAAGACAATAACGAATCACAAGAAATAAACAACAGGATTCAGCCCGGCAACAAATGTGCGAAGATACAGGTCTATAAAACAATCATACGACCCGTTGTGATGTATGGAAGCAAAACGTGGACGATAACAAAGGCAAACGAAGAGAGACTATGTGTTTGGAAAAGAAAAATTCTAAGGAAGATCTTTGGTTCTGTGCTGGATAAAGCATGAGGACATTATAGGATAAGAACTAACAAAGAGCTCGAAAAACTCTACCCAGACGCCAACATCATAAAAGAAATAAAGTCCAGAAGACTCCAATGGGCAGGACACCTCAGAAAACATTCTGACGAACGAACAGTAAGACGGGTGTGGTAGGAAGCCCCAACTGGAAGGAGACCACGCGGATAGCCTCGTCTCCGGTGGCGAGATAATATAGCAGGAGACCTAAGCACTATTGGCGTGGAGAATTGGATGGAGGTTGCTCAAGACAGAAAACAGTGGAGGCATGTTGTCGAGTCGGCTAAAACCCACGAAGGGTTGTAACGCACCCCACCACTTGACGAAAGATAACAAAACGGTACAAAATCAGTCTGGTAAAGATTTTTGAAAAGTACATGAGCATGCTGCTCTAGCAACGGGAGTAAGTTTAAGACTATAAAATTGATCCCTCGTAAAATAAAAAATATAAAAGAAGGTGCTTCTAAATAATTTTCAACACGTAACAAGAATGCAATGAATTCTCCCTAAAATCAAACTTGGACTATTTTTGGATACGGAAAAACGAGCTCCTTGCGTACCCAGAGCTCACGTCCCTTCACTATCTTGGGACAGTACACACTTTATTTATAAAGAAAAATTTGGAAAGTAATTAAAGAATAATGCTAACCATTTCTAAAACAAGTTTTATTTTAAAACAATAAATAGGTATAAAAAATTAATTCTAGTAACAATCCATATACACTTTTTAAACAATAATAAGTACTTATACTCATATAATTAAAGTTCTCACAAGCATCCCTGATATATTCGCTTACATAAATGTAGAAAATTGATATCGCAGATCCGTTCAAATTTTGAAGACGATACAAAATTATTTGATAGTATCGCTTTATCTTCCAAGAAAACAGTTTTTTACAGCTCTTTGTGGAATCCATTTTCCTTTACGTGTGTCTCCTTTTCGGGTGATGTAGGATATTTTAGCGCCCCTAAAATCAATATAAGATATATTATAATCTATTTTATAAATTGTGAAATATTTTAAAGTATAAATCAATGTTTTTGTGAACAACAATATTACAATATAATATGCAAAGAAATTGGGAACCATAATCAAAACAACTAGCCAAGAGACCTTTTTCGAAAAATACGATACCTAACAAGGATTTAAGTCAAAACTTAACACTTTGACGTCTGTCGGTATGCTGAAATGACCACCACCTACAAACATTTCTTTTAAACTTCACAGCGGTTTTACAGTCAAACCAGTGTGTAAAATTGGTTGCCTATATTATAGTCTGGATAATATAACTAATCAAGTTCACATTTCAAGCGGACTTTCGGTGTTGACATAGCGACATATTTTAATTGTTTTCTTAGATTTTATCCGAAGATTAAGAATAGGACATACCCGATTCACACATAAATACTTAATAAAGTCCAAACCGAACAACAATTGCCAAATCTGCTCAAGTGTATTAACTGTAAAACACATCGTGATCGAGTGTACCAGTACGCAAAACACAGAGTGAATATAAACTTAAGTCAAATATCAAAGACGTTTTAAACTCACCCGATCAAGTCTTTAATCGAATTGGTTTCTTGAGAGACATTCAGTTGTTTAACAGAATATAACCCCTTGTTTTCCATGTACTTTACCTTTCACTTATAACTTAAAACTGTTGTATTATTTAGTCATAGGTTCTAAGCTTATAGATTAACTGTAGCAATTAGTAACATGTGCTTTTTATAATTATTATTGTACACAATAATGTTTGTGTCAATGGTCATTGCAGCCAAGACACAATAATTTAAATAAAAAAAATTGTTTTCTTGTTTATTCAATTATTATTAATTACAAAAATTACGGGTAAGTGATATTTTTGAAGTCTCTTTTACACTAAGTACTGTTATTTTCATGAATACATACAATTCTCATACAATATACAAATACATAGTACCTATTCTGGCACGACCACAGGGCACGTCCTATATTAATTCTGCCAATATGCAAAATCAAAAGTGTAGCTTCAGGCATTTTGAAAATATGTCCCAAAACGAGGTTGATGCCTTATTGGATGAAATTCCACGTGACCAGGAGTCAATTGTCTCTGATAGTGAAAGCATCTTGGGAGTTGAATCGAATGTTGATGAATTTCGGCGACCAAATAATGAGGATGTCTTTAATATTGAAAATATGGACATAGTGTTTGAAGACCAAATAAACAATCAAGATGAAACAACCAATACTCCAAATAATCAAGAATCGAAATCGGATAGTGAAGACGATGTACCGCTAGCAGTGCGGCTAGCAAAGCGAGACAACTCTATATTTTGAACCCAAAATGAAAGTTAAATACTCCATAAAACGTTTTATATTGATTTTTAATTATGTGTTCTTGTTGTATGCCATACAATAAAATAACAAAATGTTAAATGTTGGTTCCGTCCACCTTACCAAGATTATGCGTACTATTTGTTCCCTATTAATTATTTTGTTTCAACAATAATCTTTATTGTATACCCTTAAATAAATGTTTTCTTACCTAAGAAACTGAGAAGCGCTGGAAGGTACACCAATCCATGTAGTGCTCCTATTATCACGATTCCTAGATACATTCTAAAGTAAAATATCCGGAAGATCTGAGAACTAGCAAACGCTAAAATTATAATGCCACAGAATTTCGTCAGTGTTATTCCGCTTAATACCTAAAAGACAAAAATTGTTACAGAAAACTAAAAAAATTGATACAGTAGGCAGTATTTAAAGGATTTGAATAAAGTTGAAAAGTTTACATGTTGTACAACGGACTATTCTCATCGTGTAAACATCGTCTTTAAACTGGTTACTGTGACTGCTATTTCGTAAAAAGTCAGATTTACTATGGCAACCCGATAAGTACTAATGCATCAGAAGAAAAACGACAATTGTGGCGATATAGTCTCCTTTAGGCGCGATATACTTGATCCAGCTATTCTCCAACTTCTTTAACCCGTCTGAAAAATACTTTTTGTAGAGGCATGCAAAGTAAGCTTCCGTAGTGGCGATGACCCCTTCATTCGACTTAAATTTCTGCCCAGCGAGTGCCTTTTTTAATTTTGGAAAAAAAAAGAAGCCGCACGGGACCAAATCTGGACAATACGATAGACGGGCAATATTATGTAGTCCAGTTCGACCAATTTCGCCATGGCGATGGCGGAGGTATGAGCCGGGCTTTGTCGTGGTAGAAAAGCACTTTTTCTTTGCCAAATAAGGTCGTTTTGTTTTTTCTGCAATTCGACGTCGAACCGACCCACTTGTTCGACGTAGTAGAGCCCTGTGATCGGTTTGACCTTCTTTAGGTAGTCGATGTAGATCACCCCTTGTAAATTCCAGAAAATGGTGATAGACAGAAAATGAAATGGTATAAAAGTGAATCCCTGATTCGTCGACATTTACAAGACGACGTAGAACTTCGTATTACTCTTGAACAGCGTCAAACACTGCTCTGAAGTGGTCTAACGGTTGCACTTGTTGTCCGGAGTGAGCAAACGCGGCACCCATCGCGCTGACAGCTTCCTCATGTCCAACATTTTTTGCAGTATGTGACATACGTAGTCTTTTGAGATTCCTACTGTCTCAACTATCTCGCGCACCTTTAGTCGGCGGTCTGCCGAAACGAGATCATAGATTTTTATCTTATTTTCTTTTAGTTACTTTAGTTGAGATTTCTCTTACAGTTTTTTTCAGCGATCAGACTTTGAGACTATAAGTAAATATTTTTTTGGCGATTATGTCATAAATTTTATGTTTTTTGCTATTGAGCCCAAAGGATAGCGTTGAGCATGGTGCTCAATTGATTTCCTCTATCGTCTTATCTACAGTTCATTCTTTTGTAATGGTTATTCGCAAATACTTATACGTGTCACAATATTTAATTGGATGATAAAGTTATTACAGTTGCCAGTTAACTCACTTATGTTAAAAGTGAAATAAAATTTTGAAAAAAAGCTTCACCGTGAAGCTATTTAACACTGCAAGATGCTTGGTGACACTTATCCCTACAGGGCTCTATGATATGATATAAAAAAATGAATAGGTAATAAGTATAACACTGTAGCTCAAACTTTCCTTGTTGTTCAGATAGGAAAGGCTTATGACCGGTTCATATTATTACAGTCCAGTAATTAAACGAGTAATCCAGTCCAGTGCTGGACTGTACCATATTGTCCACAATATTCTACTCATCCTAAAGCTGTGGAGCAATGGTACATTCCAGTGCAGATTTACATTATTCCATTGGCATTTCACTACTCGACTGGAATGCTGGGCTAAAATGCTACTGGAATAATGTAACCAGGCATTATACTCTAAAGGTTATAATTTCAACAAATGTATGCACGACATTTATGCTATAGTTTGTTGAAAGTGTTTTCGGAAACAATATAGCAATTATAAACATTATTATTACTATAGAATAAAATCACCACAACGTATTATTAGCACAACAGTGCTAAACTTGAAACTGAAAATTTAAGTTGAAAATTTAATATTGAATTTGAATAATATCGTCAAGTTTTTATTGTATAATCACTGTGATAAACTGAACTTACTAAGAACATTGAAATGGATTTAACTATATACCTACAATCCACTGTTTCTAATAATACTTTTTATATTACTTACTTTAATTCCTGTATGCGCTAAGGCGTCTGTCGCTCGATCCAAGGCATTATGTTTGGCAGAATTCTCAAATGCGTAAACCATGTGTCCACAGAATTCAATTGCTATACCCACACTCTAACAAAATAAAAAATATAATTAAAATGTGTTAGTAGACAATATAAGTATTGTATAAGTCGTGGTAACATATATTTTAGAACGCTTTAAATGAGGCAATGTTTGATCCCTTACAAACGATCAGATGCCTATAACGAAGCCATAGTGCTGGAACTGCAAAGCTTGAAGCTTGAAAAAAGCTAAACTGCAAATATTTTTAATGGAAAATGATTTGTTTTTTGGAGATTTTTATACAAAAAAAAAAACTGATATAAGTGCTACATACCAAGCAATTTAATAAATTATACGCCATATTGCCGAAAAATATGGAGACACTGTACTGAGACCCCCTATTTTTGTATATTCAATTCTATAGTTAATTTGGAGATAACTAAAACCAAGTATAAGGCGTACAAATACATTTCCTAAATTTAATAAGAAGGTCTTATTCTTCCCCTTCCTAAGAAGTTCCGCCTGTGCGTTGGCGGATTAATACCTCTATGGAAGGTTGTAAAATATGATATATGTTGGGCAGACGATGCGCGGAATTATCAGATAGATATTTGGGATAATGAAAAAAGAAATATCTAATATTACCAAAGATGATTTGCAGAAAATAATCACCAAAGCGATCAAAGTTGAAGAAAAGTATTAGAAGATTGAGCACTGCCACATTAATGATGGAAATAAATTTATTATTTAATTGGATAATGATAGTAGCTCAAAAATACGGAAGAAAAAATGCTGTTTATAAAAGTATTTTAAGGAATACCTTATTAATTGTTGTGTTGTGCAATTAATATTTGGACCAATTACAATTGTAAGAAAAGTTTTGAAAAAGTTTAAGTTTGAAGTGTTGATAGACGATGATGTGGAAATCAAACAAGTGGAAAAATTTAAATATTTAGGTGCACTCATTGATAAGAACTGTTTAGAAGAAACCGAAATTAAACACCAAATTAACCATCATCATCATCATCATTAATGGCGCTACAACTCTTCGTGAGTCTTTGCCGCGTTTACTACTGCCTTCCATGTTTGTCGGTCTTATGCCAGTAATTCCCATTGTCGCACTCCCATCTTCTCTAGATCTTCTCTGACTGCATCTTTCCACCTTTTTCTAGGCCGCCCAACAGACCTTCTTCCATCTGGCCTTTCCCAGAACGCATTGTTTATAAGGCGATTGTCGTTACTGATTATCACATGTCCTGCCCATCTGAGTCTATTGGCCTTTGTATATTTGACTAGATTTTCTTTTCCGAATAGAGACTCTAGCTCGTTATTGTATCTGCTTCTCCATTCGTTTGTCACGCTGCCTCTGCAAGGGCTATATATCATTCGAAGAATTTTACGTTCCCATACCAGCAATTTATTTACTTCTGCCATTATTCTGGTTTCAACTTCTCGCTCTAATTTGTTGTCATTTGTAATTGTTGCTCCTAGATATTTAAATTCTTTAACCACTTCGAAGTTGTGATCATTTATGGTAATGTTTTGCCTTATTCGCCTTCGTTCTTGTTTTGAGACAACCATGTATTTTGTTTTGTCTTCATTTATTTTTAGACCGATGTTTAATGCAGCTTCTTCGAAGCTCGCTCGAGAAGATATCCTTAATTTCTAATGCTGATTGTGCTACTGCATCTACGTCATCGGCAAAGACGAGTATAATTTTTGCTCCCCGAGCAGTTATGTCTGGTTTGATTTTTGGATATATTTTTCGCATGACATATTCTAAGGCCAGATTAAACAACAATGGTGACAACGGATCTCCCTGTCTCAGTCCAGAATTTACGCAGAAAGCATTTGACATTTTTCCCCCTATTCTAACTTGTGCAAAAGAGTTACTTACACACATTTGTGTTACCGCAGCTAGTTTCTTGGATATGCCGAGCTCGATCATTGCCTTCCATAATGTTGCGCGATTAATTGAATCGTAAGCCTGTTTGAAGTCTATAAAAATCTGATGCACGTCGTGATTATATTCCCAATACTTTTCAAGCATTTGTCTTATTGTAAATATTTGATCAATAGTCGATCTGCCAGGCCTGAAACCACACTGGTAGTCACCAACTATTTCTTCGGCGTATGGTACTAATCTTTTTAATAATATCGAAGCCAATATTTTATATGTAGTGTTGATTAGTGAGATTCCTCTGTAATTCATGCATGTCTCCTTTTTTCCTGTCTTGTGTATTGGTACAATAATACTACCACACCATTCTTTCGGCATTATTTCTTGTTGCCAGGCTATTTCTATTAATTGATGGATTTTACTTATGAGTTCATGACCGCCTGTTTTAATTATATTATCAAGGACGTAAAATTGTAGGATGTCTGAACTACTTATGGTGTGATCGCAAAATTTCAAAAAGGAACAAAAAAAGAATAGGGCAGACTATGGTTGAATCAGTTCTTTGTTATGGCTCTGAAGTATGGATAATTAATGCAGACCTAAAGAGAAGATTGTTGGCAGTTGTAATGGGTTATTTGAGAAGAAGTGCTAGAACATCAAGGCTGGAAAGAAAGAGCAACGAATCTATTAGAAATAACATTAATGCTACAGAAATGGTCATTGACCAAATAGAAAGAAGAGATTTAAAATGGTTTGGACAACTATTGAGAATGCCTGACGAACTTTTTTTTTTGGTATTTTTTGCTTGTCTCTTTAAGTTCATGGTATCCTTGACTTTTATTATTTTGCATTGTTTTCCTCTTTGCCAAGCTAATCTAATATTACAATGCTTATTCATCAAAATGAAATTAGCATTTTCACTAATTTTATCTGACTTCCTGTTTATTCCTCTTTCATTCAAATACAAAATATTTTTTATACTTACCATGACCAAATTAACCAAGGAGATAGCATTTAATGAAATTCCCCATAAGTACATTAGTCCCATCATGTGGCAAAGGATCATAATTGCAGTGGAGGTCAGTATGAGCGATTGCAATATACTGAATCCAGTGAATACAAATGTTGTGCCCAAAATAGTCGCTAAAGATACAGCCAATGACCTTAATGTGTCTTCCCATATAGTCAGGTATTGTTCGAAATATACATAAAATACACTAAAAAATAACAAACATAACCAGAGATTTGAAATCGTAATATTTTTTATTAAATATAAATTTACATTCACACTATGATTATTCAATGGAAACACGCCATTTTTTTTTTCAGCGAACGTAAAGCGGTGGATGTAGTTTTTAAAGAAAAACCATTTACAGTTAGATTAAACGTTATAAATATAAACATTTATTGACTCAATTCTATGCTGTTCAAGAACTCGATCAGTCATCGAAAAAAAAAAAAATGTTTAAGGACTACACTAACATCGATATCTTGTGTTTAGAGGAGAAGGACAGGGTTATGTCTTGTCAACATTATTAAGTAATTTCTATAGTGTAAACATCTGACAGTTGACAGGAAGCTCTTTTAGAAGCGAACAAAGGAATTGTAATCAACGGCGAGGATGTAAACAATATTCGATAGGGTAAAGTGTGCAAATCGCGATCACCTAAGAAGAAAATTTAATATAAAAAAAGTAAAACTCTGTGAATCAAATTTAAGCCGTCAATCCGTAATTTGGGGTTTTAACTTATTGCAAGATACATTTAATTTCAAAAATATAAAATTTTTGTCTTTGACAGAGACAAAACATAAAAAAGTATCTTTGACCGGTATTGTCACCATACATGGACAATACCGGTCATGAGTGTGGGTAATGCCAGTCAATTTGTTTGTGTTATTATTAAAATAAAAATCAATATCTATTTAACATTTTTTTGTTATAAAACGATTAACGAATGTGGCTTAATGGGTCATAATTCAAGTAAATCAGTAAGAAAGGTGAAAAAATATTTTTTATTACAAAACAAACAAAAAATAACAAAAATATGTGTTTTAATGTAAAAATAGTTGACAGTCATCGCAGGTATAACTCTCTGCAGAATCCCATCCACTGCACTCTGAGCCCATCGTGAGCAAACGGTAAATATATACCACAATTCATTGTTTTTGCAAAACTCGCTGTAAACCAGGCATCTATCTTCGTATGCATCGTCACTGTTATCACATGATATATCATTATCCGATTCCTAAGAACTAGAATCAAACACCTTTTTCTTGTAATGCCAATTACAAGAAAAAGGTGTTTTATTACAAGAAAAATTATCTTGTAAACCCAAATGCTAATTTTCTCAGTTCTATTGCTGTTACGCCATAAAAAATTAATCTAAATATTTTTTTGTGTGGCTATTTTAGCTTCTTGTTCTACAGAAAATACTGATTTTCTACCTAATGAGACACCTTGAAGATTTTTATTTTTTATTCTTTCTTGCAATGTCGAAGAATGGATGGATTAATCCCTAAGGATTAATAGTATAGGGTATAAATTATAGCATGGGGGTAATACCGGTCAACTGACCGGCATTGCCTCCTGTTGGCATTTTTTTTCTTAGAATTTTTTACTCGTAAACATGTATTAAAATATTGATCTTTAAAAAAGGAATAGGCAGCTAACGTCATTATAATCAATTGTAACCAATTTTAAGATCTACAAGTGAATAAAAATGAATTAAGACCTTAATATTACTCAGCATAAAAATAAGATCGAAAACAGGTTAATAATATTTCTATGACTATGGTTTTTGCGCCAACTCAACGCTCGTCAGCAATCTGAATACAGAGTAGTGTAGCGACACGTTGGCAGTTATAGGAGGTTGCCAGATTGAATAGATTTCGCACAATCGGGATGACCGCCATTACCCACTGACCGGTATTTGCACAGTTTACCCAACTGTTTTAGTTACAAGAACAGTATAAGACTGCTTAAAAATATAAATATTTCTTGTAATAATTACGACATAAAAATCAATGTCCAGTAAGCCAAGTATATGGTCTTTAGTAAGAACATAATACAATCAACGCGAATTAGTATAAATGGCACTCAAATTAAGAAAGTATCAAACTGCAAGTATTTGAAAACTTTATTAAATGAATATAAAGACCAAACAATGAAATAAAAATACGTATCGAAATTGCCAAGGCCACTTTAATAAGATTTAAGTCAAATTCTTCTTATCGTCAAGAACCAGTTATGGAACTTACTTGAGAGTAACTTTGTGATAACTGAGGCTGTAAATTATACAGTGAGTACCACTTATTTAATAAAATTGTTTGTGTCGTTATGTAACAAAATTATAAAAACACAGGTACCCATTGTTTTTTAAATTCAAATGTACGCTTTTAAAACATAGCATACCATATTGAAGATAAAACAAAGAGTATCGAAGGTAAGAAAAGAGAAAGGGGCCAAAGAAGAAAAGTGGAACACATATATATTTAAAAATTATAAGCAAAAGAATTAATACTAGCAGAAAATAGAGCTAATGTTAAATGAAAGAGGAGAAGAAAACAACATCGAAGACGAATGGAATAATGTCCAAACGACAATTACCAATAGAGCAAGAGAAACATTAGACCTCAAGAAATGGATTGTCCAAAATTGCCAACAAATAATAAATAGCAAAAATACAGCTAGGCAGAAATTTCTAGAAAGGAATTTCCGATCGAATAGAAGGATATCTGAAAAAGTAAAAAGGGATGCAAGGAGGAAAAGGAAAAGATAGAAATGTTAAATAGAAAAATATATAACAAATTACAGACTATAATAACAGAAGAAAAACCAAGAGAAACCAAATGATACATTCAAGGACAAGTAACGATAAAAACAGTGCGAAAAAAAACAAAAACGGGGCAATTATCAACGAGAAATTAGAACTAATGAAAATGTGCATGTTCAAGAGCTCCTAAACCCAAAAAAGGACAAAACCAAAAATCAGAAATAATTCATTACACAGCAAAACAACTACTACAAACAAGGCTTCTCTGGTACTCAAGCCACTCCTAAATCCGAATTGACTATTGCTAATTATCTCCTCTAATATTGTGTATATTCTGCTCTGTATGGCTTACAGAGAGATCTTTCTGTGGTATTTTGACAAATGTCGACTTAACCAATCAGTAGTAATATCCCACTGCTATACATTCTGTAAGTGGTTTAATTAAATTTTCTAAAAAAACTTTAGTATTTCAGCACGTACTTCATCGGGGTCAAGTGCTTTTCCATTTTTTGCCGTTTTTATTGGCCATGTAACCTCACTTTCTATTATAGATGGACCTGTTATAGTAATTGGTGTATAGTATTCTACTCTTTCATCTTCAAATAATTCACAAATGTATTTCTTCCATTCTTTTACTGTTCATTGATATCCAATACTTTTCTGTTTTTGTCTTTTAAACTTTTAGATAGTTATTTCTGATTTATTCTGGCGATCTTTTTTAATTTCTTGTGCAGATAAAATGTATCGTATTTCTTTTCATATTGTTCAATTTCATTATATTATTTGCTATGAAATTGTATTTTCGCATGTCTTATTCTCTGCCTGATTATTGCGTGGATCCTCTTGTATTCATTTATATCTTTATTTCTGGTTTCTCTTTTTTGATCCGTGAGTCTCAGTATTTCTTTTGTTATCCACGCTTGTTTTCTTCTTGTTTTTAGTTAACTTAATTTTGTTTCTTGAACAGTCTTTAATATTTCTTTAATGCTCGTCCAATTTTCCTCAGTACTTTCATCTTTACTTGATGTTAACTTTATTTTTGGTTTTAATACACTGGTTGTTTCTTGTTTTATGGTATAATTTGACATCTTTTCTCTATTAATAGTAATTGTTTTTTAATTAGTTCTTGCAACTCTTTTTAATCTCAGTATTATTTTTCCTACCAAAATATTGTGCTCTGTTGCTACATTTACACTTGGATATGTTTTGACTGCTTATACTGAATTTCTGTATCTTTTATTTATACATTTATATACATTTATACATATCATATATAAAGTCTATTTGGTTACGAACCACACATTCAGGTGTATCTGCTGGTGATCTTCAGGTGTAAAGACGACGCTTTGGAAGTTTAAAAATTGTGTTTGGTATTACTAGTTGCTTTTTACACAAAAAATGCGAACATATCTCCTCTTTCAATTCGTATTCCCAGACCATATTTTCTATGATATCTTTTTGTTCTCCTTCACCAATCTTCGCATTAAAATCTCCCATAACAATATTGAGCTCTGTTTCTTTGTAGATGTTGTGTTTTTAACTTCATTGCTTGTTAGTCTATGTTTAAAAAGAATATGTGCTTTGTTGTGTTGGTGCTTTTACTTGAGTGAATTTTCAAATAATTGCCAGGTGGATGTTTTCCAAGTTTAATTTATCAATAATTAATGCTATTTTTATAAGTTAACTATGCTTGTTTAAATTTGTTTTTCCAAGTAATTTTCCTGTAATTAGCATTGATATTGTATGACTGCTCATGTAAGTCACATTTTACATTGTTATTCTCGTTTTAATCAAGACGAGGCCTTTCTGGCCTTATCTTTTTATTTAACGAGCTTCACTAATCCTTCGAAAAGAGTATTGCTCTTGCAGATTTGCACTGATGCTGTTTTGTAAGTACAAAACGAAACGTTTCCGCTAATATATGGTCTAGTAATATCTTGCAAACAAAATGGATGGTGGTCGGAAAAATAAATATCGAAGACTCAGTACTAAGATTAGATAACAAAATCCTGGAAAGGGTGGAACACTTTAGATATCTGGGTAGCTGGATTGCCTGCAGGGTTGAAAGTGACGAGGAAATTTCGACCAGAATAGAACTTGCACGAAAAAACTTTATTAACTGGCGTTCTGTATTATGCAGAAGTATGTCGTTGACCACACGTCTAAGAGTATTAAAGTGCTACGTCTGGTCCACTTTGTTTTATGGATGTGAAACCTGGACAACAAAAATAAAAAATCTTAACAAATTAGAATCGTTTGAGCTATGGTGTTACCGTCGCATGCGCAGAATCTCGTGGACAGTACACATATCTAACGAACGTGTGCTAGAGACCGTGCACAAAGAGCGAGAATTGATCAACATTATCAAAATGAGAAAGGTCCAATACTTCGGTCATATAATGAGAGGACCTAATTCAGGTCAGTCAGTCAGTTAATAATTCAGGGCAAAATCGAAGGAAAACGTTGGGTCGGAAGAAAACAACTGTCCTGGCTGCGTAACATTAGACAATGGACAGGTCGAACGGTCAAGGAACTGTTTCATCTAGCTGCCGACCGAGAATCATTTCATCAGCTTGTCAATATGACGATAGCCAACACTTGAATACAAGCACGGCACACAAAGAAGAACATCTTGCATTGTTTCTTTTCTCCTCTTATCTTATCGAGATCATAAAGAGTTAAAACAGAGATCATAAAGAGTTATACAGTGTGAAAGGAATTTAACCCCCTTTCCATTGTTTTATCATTGCTTATTGAGATTGACAGTCATTACTTTATATATATATATATATATATATATATATATATATATATATATATATATATATATATATATATTAAAAGGGGAAATCCCACTGGTTGGATGTAGAGCATAGTTTAAAAAAATTTACAACCAAGTAAAAACTTCGGATGTAGGGATTTTTAATAAATTTGAGAACACGATGAACATTTGAGAATTAAAATGGCAGATGACGGCTGCGGAAAAGAAGAAGATTTGACCGACAAAAAAAAGTTTATATATATTATATTATAGTTTCGATATTTTAGATCGAATATTGTCTAAGCTGACGCTCATCGTTTGTGAGATTTCTTCAAGATCTGCAACTCTAGGACGGATCAAAACATTAGCGCAATATTTTCGTTGTCAAATTTATTAAAATTTTCTTAATTCTCTAAAACTATTATTTATTCCCGAAATTACAAGCAATGCAATTACGATACCCAAAATATTTTATGATTCCATTGAACAAGCCTAGTACGGGAAAAACAGAAAATTATAATTAAAATATTAATTACCTGTACGGAAATATTTCAACACCTGGTAGATCCAAAGTCTTTGTTAAATTTTTTGAAATTGCTCTTGCATACTTTAAAGCATCAATATAGTCCTTTGATTTTTTAAGAACAGTATGGTAACCCATAATGTTCGAGGCAATTATATCGGTATATCCGTTTTCATCGGACAAATAAGTAATGCCCTAGAAGATAAATATTTTTCATTAATAACTATTAAACGATGAATACGATAAATATACATTAAAACAACAATATTGTTTAAATAACAAACATAACCTTAAAATCAAAAACTTCTTACGTTAGAGTATGCTGGGTGTCCGGCTTTGGCACACGATGGATTCGGGTTGTCATTCAAAAAGTGAGGAAGATACTTTCGGTAATAATTATACTGGCTTAGGCCGCTTTTATTCATTAGACTAAAATAACAAGGATCGCAGTCTTCAGAGCTGTAGGTATGAGGGCAAAAGTAATTTGTGTCCTTAAAGTACTTGCAACAGCTCTCGGTTTCGCTCCAGTCCTTGAAATCGTCTAACCAAGAGTTGGCCTGTGTTGCTATTCGAGTTCTGAAAAAGTACAATAGTAAGAAATAGGGTTAATATATGCATAAGGTCATAATATTGCCACCTCTGTGACCTAGGACACAGAGGTCGAGAAATCAAAAAGTCATCTATCTACACAGAGAGTTCTGAAATGAACACTGCTAGAAAGGAGTAGAAAGAGCGACAGAAACGGTTGAAAAATGACGAATCATTTACTGAAAAGATAATCAAAGACAAAGGGAGAAGAAAAGCGAAGAAAATGAAAACTAATACACCGCCAGAATAATCATCAAAAGAAGAATATTATTGTCTTATTTGCTTAGAGACCTATTCAGTGAGTCGGTCTGGAGACAGTTGGATTCAGTGCCAAGGTAGCTGCAAACAATGCTGGTCACGTAGCCTGTACTGATGGAAGTGGATATGTCACAACTGTGATAAGTCTGATTAAATATAGGAAAATATAATTTGTTTAAACTCAGATTTTGTTTGATAATCTTTATTAATAAATCTGATTAAAAATAATAAAACTGATTTTACATGCGTGATTTATATATTATTTTTGAATATTACAACTGTCCAATATTCCTGTTACAACCGCTCCTGGTATGGGGTCGTTTGTAACAATCGCACACACTTATTAAAATGACATATTCCGTCCAAACCGTTTTACTTGATCTATCAAATGACAGAAATATATCATATTTTACTTACAAGTCTGGTTGAAGTTTTGCCATGAATATCTGAGTACTAATTGAGTCTGGTGCACAGCCCATGCCTCCGCAATATTTATGATTAATGTCTGTGTTAAAATAGTCGACTTGGCCCTTTGTTACCCAATACACTGGTGGTCCAATCATGAGCAGGTCATTCATGTACTAAAAAATAACAGAATATTACGGTAAATATTATTTTTGTGGTGATTGATGTGCAAAATATCACTTTTTTATTATTTGTAACATATTATCCAGTTTACTTTTCTCAATGAGTAAAAACTGAATATTGTGTAAATTAACAAACTCTAGAATAGCTTAAAATTTGCTAGATTTAACTTACAATAAATAGTTCAGTAAAAGCTTTCGGTCAGAATATTATGAAAACTTTATTTACTTTACATTTACCCTGAGGGAATTTCCGTAACGGGAAAAATGTACATATACATGCTTTTTTACTTAAAATCATAACATTTTAAAGCTTAATAGGGTCCTATTGATATTTCAGAATACGTGTTCTTTATTTCTTTAATAAAAATTATAATCCAAGACTTTCTTTCTTTCTCCAATTACACCTGCAGAACTACTGTCACGTATAAGTAAGACCACATCTAAACACGCTGAAGGTTTAGATGAAATCAATGGTAAGTTTATAAGATATGTTGCGTCACATATGCGAACCATTGTCACATTTAATCAACGAATCTTTTACGACGGGCCAATTTTTTAATATAAAAGAATCCAAGAAATTTCCAATTTTTTAAAATATCTGCAGGTAATATTGAGAATTATCGTTTGATTTGTATACCCAGTCAGATTGCAAATTTGTTTGAACTGACATTTTGTGAAAGACTAACAAGCTATCTAGAAGCATTTCATTTACTGCCATATGTCCAAATGGGTTGAGGAAAGGCAAATTTAGCTTAATAGCTATTGATGACTGTCTTAGTTGTATCTATGAAGCTCTTAATGAAAAACAGAACCCGTTGGGAATTTTTTATGATCTAAGTTGTGCTTTTGACATGGTGGATCACATGCTGCTTCTGATGGAGATGGAAGGCATGGGAGTTCGAGGTATACCACATAACTGGGTAAGATTATATTTGTCAAATCGTTTGCAAACAATAATATTAGATGATACACTATCAGACCCAATGAAGTCCTCTGTGGGAGTACCACAAGGTTCGGTTCTTGGTCCTCTCTTCTTTATTGTTGTTATCCACGATATGTATGCAGATTATTAAATATGCAGATGATACAAGCTTCATTATATTACATCATCAGTTTGATCAGCTTGTCACCAAGGGCAATACAGCATCTCAGGAATTTAGTAAGTATTGCAAAGATAACGGCCTTAAATTAAATATAACAAAAACCAGTTTCATGAGATTTTTACCAAAGAATATAGCACCTCACTACGATCCTTATCTATATATTGATCACAAGTCCATTCAAAATGCTGAAGTAATAAAATTTTTAGGACTAATGCCAGGTCCAAAGTCAAGTTGGGAAGATCACATACATAAAGTTACCTCGACACTAAGTAGTCATGGTTATATAATTGGAAATATAAAGGATACTTTATCCTTACATATAATAAAACTAATGTACTATGGCTTGGTGCACAGTCCTTCAGTACTGCTTAATATTTTGGAACTCATCCCCATATATGAATAGAGTTTTTATATCTCAAAAAAATACTACGAACTATGTTTAAAGTATCATCAACTACATCATGTAGAAGCCTGAGAGGAATAGAAGAAGACACAGATCATTACCTAGTCAGAGCAAAAGTCAAATCCACCATATCTAGCGACAAATACAATAAAACAACAATAAACCCACATTGGAACATGGAAAAAATACACAATGCAGAGAAACAGCAAAACTATAGAAAACAACTTGAACAAACCTCGAACTCTGAAAGAGAATAAAATGATATAGAACAGCTATGGGAAGCGACTGCCGAAATAATAACCAAGACAGCGAACAAGATCTTTGGAAGGAGTAGGCAGAAGAGGGTAAAAACATGCTATGACGAGGAATGTCAGAAACAGCTGGAAAAAAAAACAGTAAGCAAGACTGTTTGAAATCTGAAAATGAAATGAAATGAAATGAAATGAAAAGCTGAAAATATAGCTGCAAACATACCAAAGTAAAAAGGAATATGACGACTGCCAAAAAAAAAACGAAAAATAATACGCACAATGAAAATTACGCACAATTTCCTCTGAGAAAAGAGGATATAGAACCAATTCCATCCATACACTGAGAGACAATCAACGCCGTATGATAATTGACGATTAAGAAGTAACTGAAGAATGGAAAAAGTATTTTAGGGACCTTCTAAACATCATACAGGAAGAACAGCACAAAGAAGAGATCTATATTACAGCGGGCATGCCCGCCAAAAATCCCTCCTTTGAAGAAACCCAAAAGGCCTTAAAAAAGCTGAAAAATCACAAAGCGCCGGGTACGGACGAGATACCAGCAGAACTTCTGAAATATGGGGGAGACGCACTACATTGCCAAATCCACCAGCTAATAACGTATATATGGTTAGAAGAAGGGATACCAGCACGATGGAAGGAAAACATAATAGTGCCCATCCACAAAAAAAGGGACAAAACAAAATGCGCGAATTATAGAGGAATCTCACTCCTAAACACGGCATATAACACCCTCTCAAACATCATTCTTAGTAGACTAATCCCTTATGCTGAAAATGTCCTAGGCGAATATCAAGCCGGGTTTAGGGCAAACAGATCAACAATAGATCAACTATTTACGCTGAGACAACTTCTAGAAAATGGAATGGGAGTATAACAGATCCATACACAATCTTTTCATAGACTTTCGACAGGCATATGATAGCGTAGAAAGAAGCCAAGTATGGAATGCCATGGCGGAGTTCTTAATACCAAAGAAACTCATTCGGATGACTAAAGTCTGTATGTAGGGTGGAGTATCTAAAGTACCTACGTGTAAATAATAAACTGTCTGGCAGCTTTGAAATCAACAATGGACTTAAACAAGGTTTGACGAAGAAATCTCCACTACTTTTTAATCTTGTATTAGAGAAAGCCATGAGGTCGGCCGAAATAAAAATAGAATTGCTATCGGTTCAAGGTCCCAAGCTGTTACTCGCATATGCAGATGACATAGATCTCGTTGGGGACTCCATCCTATCCACGAAGGACATTTTCAACAAGGTAAAAAGAGCAACAAGTGAAGTAGGGCTGAAGATTAATAAAGAGAAGACGAAATATATGTGTATAAATAGAACGACACGAAGAGACAGAATAGGACAAAATGTGACGGTCAACACCTTCAATTTCGAAAGAGTACAACGTTTTAAGTATCTGGGGCCGTAATCACAACTGAAAACGGATGTTACTGAAGAAACAAAAGACAGCATCCAATCTGAAACCGCTGCCTATTCGCACTGGATAAGCTCATAAAATCAAAAAATTTCACAAGAAATTCAAAGATCAAAATCTATAAATCCATCGTCAGACCTGTAATTACATAAAGATGCGAAACGTGGACCATGACCAAAGCAAATGAAGAAAAGCTCAGATGTTTTGAATGAAAAATACTTTTCGGACCTCACCATGATATCACCACAAACCAGGATAAGATCAGAATCAATATCGAATTAAAAGCACTCTACAACGACGTCGATATTGTCCAAGAAATTAAATCACAATGACTAAGATGGACAGGCAACGTGCACAGACTGCATAACGAATGACTAGTAAAACTGGTATGGGAGGAGATTCCCACAGGCAAAAGACCGCTCAGACGCCCCATAATGCTATGGAGAGATAACATCCAAGCAGATCTCCGGAAAATGAACATTCCATTTGACCCTAGGTTGATGGAAGAGCGAACAAATTGGAAAAAAGTTGTACAGTCAGCCAAGACCCACCCAGGGTTGTAGCGATACGTGATGATGATGAACTACATCATGTAAGCCAGTATTTATAAAAGCTAACATCATAACTCATCCTAGTCTACCTAGTTTACAGCTAATAATGTATATAAAAAACATGAGCAAACATTCCTTAGGAACGCTGATCTACATCCTCAGCTCCTAGCTACAATAGAATCAAATGTTTTAATAAGTTCATTGACATGTCAGTCACACATAAGATGCATCATGTTCAAATGCTTTGAACAAAATCTAAAAGCATTTCTAGTTAGCCATGTTTTTTACAGTATTGAACAATTTTTAAATTTTTAATGTATGTTTTGTTATTTATTTTTTTTAATGCAATTTTTAATGTACTTAATTTTTAATGCTGTATCCATTTGTATAACATATATATATATATATATATATATATATATATATATATATATATATATATATATATATATATATATATATATATATATATATATATGTTGAACAATTATTCCGGGAAAATATCCGTTGGTCATTTTTTAATTGCAGACGTTTCGCCAAGGTCTCACTTGGCATCTTCTGTGCGTTGTCTTCGGTCTCGTAGTCGGTAACTGAATGAGCTGCAGCAGCAAATTGATTAAACCCAGCCTTAGAGAAATGTTCACCCGGGTAGTACGATTGGGTGTAACAATTCATTGGAGCAAGGTGTGCTAACTCGTGTAAAAACAGGAGTCACCCCACCGTGCTCCAATGCTCAAGACCATCCCTTTCCCCCTATAGCAATCTGATTCGCTATAGAGGCACAACAATCAGCCAAGTGCTCTTCATGTGGAGGTCCTGGGTAATAGAACCCCAACATGGTTTCCTAATACGATTGTGAAAACTCAGGACAGCGCATCTCCGCTTTATTCCTGTTTATCTTACTGTGGCACTGAATGAGCTGCGCTCAGTCCTCACTTCTTTTATATCGTGCGCTGTTCGAGCGGATCGTCGCTGATTGGCCGTATTCGTTACGCCGCTAGGCCCCGCCCCCTGGGGAGCGAAGCTTACGCACAAGGAGCATCAAGCCCTCAAACACCTCAATAAAAATCAATCCATCATCATACTACCGGCCGACAAAGGAAACACAACTGTCGTCATGAACATCGGGGAATACAAATCAAAAATGCAAGACCTCCTAAAAGATGAAACATATAAAGCGGTATCGAGGGACCCCACCACATACTTGGAGAAAACTACAAAAACTAAAATCAACAAATCTCCTATCGACGAAACAACAAAAAGGGCACTCATACCAAGAGAAAAATCCAGTAGATGCCCAAAATTCTACGGTCTTCCAAAAATCCACAAGCCAGGTGTACCTATGCGACCCATCGTTAGCGCATTCAATTCACCCCTACAAAAACTTGAACGGTACATAGCGCAGATACTCCAACCCATCACGGAAAAGGCATCCTCATACGTTAAAAACTCACACCACTTCACACAAATATTGACTTCAACTACACTCAACAACAATGACATTATAGCTAGTTTCGATGTCAAGTCATTATACACCAACGTACCAGTAAACGAAGCACTCCAGTTAATATCGGAATACGAAGACCTTCCTGACCATATCATAGAACTAGCTCACCACTGCCTCAACAATGCATACTTCATGTACGATGGACAAATGTACCGACAAACAGATGGAGCAGCAATGGGTTCATCATTATCACCGGCGGTGGCCAATATGTTCATGATTTACTTTGAAAAAAAAGCCATCAAAACATACGATAAAAAACCGAAACTGTGGCTAAGATACGTAGATGACGTATTTGTGATCTGGACCCATGGAAGAGTAGAACTTGAACAATTTCTTAATCATCTAAATAATCAACACCCAAAAATCCAATTCACCCTGGAGATTGAAGATAACAACCAACTTCCATTTTTAGATGTTCTCGCAATAAAAACACCGAGTGGTAAATTTGAACACACAGTATATAGAAAACCAACTCACACCGATAGATATCTACAAGCCAACTCGCACCACCATCCTTCCCAAATACAAGGAGTAGCTGACACTCTGATATCAAGATCAAATAGCCTGACCTGTACTACACATAGAAATGCAGAGCTCAAGAACATAAAAACAATACTGAAACAAAATGGATACAGCTCAAACACCATCTACAAAGCAATAAAGAAACAACGGAAGACCACACAAAACACACAAGAAGACAACAAAAATCAACCAAGAGCTATTCTACCATACGTGAAAGGAACCACCGACAAGATAGGGCGCATTCTCCGAAAAAAGAACATATCGACAATCTACAAACTTACGCACAAGGAGCATCAAGCCCTCAAACACCTCAATAAAAATCAATCCATCATCATACTACCGGCCGACAAAGGAAACACAACTGTCGTCATGAACATCGGGGAATACAAATCAAAAATGCAAGACCTCCTAAAAGATGAAACATATAAAGCGGTATCGAGGGACCCCACCACATACTTGGAGAAAACTACAAAAACTAAAATCAACAAATCTCCTATCGACGAAACAACAAAAAGGGCACTCATACCAAGAGAAAAATCCAGTAGATGCCCAAAATTCTACGGTCTTCCAAAAATCCACAAGCCAGGTGTACCTATGCGACCCATCGTTAGCGCATTCAATTCACCCCTACAAAAACTTGAACGGTACATAGCGCAGATACTCCAACCCATCACGGAAAAGGCATCCTCATACGTTAAAAACTCACACCACTTCACACAAATATTGACTTCAACTACACTCAACAACAATGACATTATAGCTAGTTTCGATGTCAAGTCATTATACACCAACGTACCAGTAAACGAAGCACTCCAGTTAATATCGGAATACGAAGACCTTCCTGACCATATCATAGAACTAGCTCACCACTGCCTCAACAATGCATACTTCATGTACGATGGACAAATGTACCGACAAACAGATGGAGCAGCAATGGGTTCATCATTATCACCGGCGGTGGCCAATATGTTCATGATTTACTTTGAAAAAAAAGCCATCAAAACATACGATAAAAAACCGAAACTGTGGCTAAGATACGTAGATGACGTATTTGTGATCTGGACCCATGGAAGAGTAGAACTTGAACAATTTCTTAATCATCTAAATAATCAACACCCAAAAATCCAATTCACCCTGGAGATTGAAGATAACAACCAACTTCCATTTTTAGATGTTCTCGCAATAAAAACACCGAGTGGTAAATTTGAACACACAGTATATAGAAAACCAACTCACACCGATAGATATCTACAAGCCAACTCGCACCACCATCCTTCCCAAATACAAGGAGTAGCTGACACTCTGATATCAAGATCAAATAGCCTGACCTGTACTACACATAGAAATGCAGAGCTCAAGAACATAAAAACAATACTGAAACAAAATGGATACAGCTCAAACACCATCTACAAAGCAATAAAGAAACAACGGAAGACCACACAAAACACACAAGAAGACAACAAAAATCAACCAAGAGCTATTCTACCATACGTGAAAGGAACCACCGACAAGATAGGGCGCATTCTCCGAAAAAAGAACATATCGACAATCTACAAACCGAAGCAAACAGTTCGATCGATCTTAAGAAACCCCAAAGATGCAACCAAACTGGAAAATCAGGGTGTTTACAAAATTGCATGTGGAACCTGTCACCAAACCTACATCGGACAAACCAACAGGAGAATTTCCGCAAGATTAGAGGAACACAAACTAGCAATTCGCAACAGACAGCTAACATCTGCTCTATTTCAACACGAGCATAACACAGGCCATAAAATAAACTTCGAAAGTTGCAAACAAATAGCCAACATTGAACACTTCAAAACAAGAACCATCAGAGAATCTATAGAAATTGAAAAAGAAGGTCTTCTTAACAAACGTGACGACTCCTTAAATCTGCCCCAAGCTTGGAAGTCCATAATCTCGAGACGCCAACATCAAACTGACTGCCTGAGCTTCGCTCCCCAGGGGGCGGGGCCTAGCGGCGTAACGAATACGGCCAATCAGCGACGATCCGCTCGAACAGCGCACGATATAAAAGAAGTGAGGACTGAGCGCAGCTCATTCAGTTACCGACTACGAGACCGAAGACAACGCACAGAAGATGCCAAGTGAGACCTTGGCGAAACGTCTGCAATTAAAAAATGACCAACGGATATTTTCCCGGAATAATTGTTCAACATATTACTCCATCCGTGAAACACTTCAAACTAACATATATATATATATATATATATATATATATATATATATATATATATATATATATATATATATATATATATATATATATATATATATATATATATATTTTTGACTAGTCAGATAACTTTGTGTAATTTTGTATACATTGTATAAATTTCTTGATATATCTTCTAGAATAAATTCTATCTATCTATTTACACAATATTACCAAACTGAATTTTGTTATTTTCGGTTTAAATTATCTAGCCGAATTCCGAGTTAAGTATACATCAAGACAAAAATTTTATCTAAATAATATTACTAGTTTATTTCTTGAAAAAGTTACTTACTTGAAAATACTTCAATACATGACTACCCTCTGGCATGGAGAGTTGTTGTTCCAGTCCTACTTCTATCATGGGTGAAAGAAGAATTGACACCATAGTCGTTATGGTGAACACACATATCACAGCAATCCTAACAGGATATCTAAAAATTAAAAATTTTACAACATAAGTCAATCAAAACATCTTTGTTAGTAGTTCTATTATACTTTAAATATTAGCATGTCAGAATGGCTTTAAAAAACGAATAAATAAATTATCACTTACTTCATTATAATAGGTGTAACACGATCTTTCCATGCGTTATACAAAAACTCTTTAGATTCTAAAGTGTCATCTCTCTTAACTCTAATGCAGTATGCCAGATCTAGCCGATTAGCCTTAAAACAATTGAATTTATTTATATACATAATAAATAACATCATCAAAATTGAATTGAAAAATTAATATTAGTTTTATTGTATTGTGTATCATTGTATTATTATACGATAATGTATAGTGACCATAGCATGGTATGAGATAAAATAGAAATAAGCTTAAAGAAGGAGAGTTATAAGATGATTAAAAAGAAGAACAAATCAAAACCATGAATGAAACCATCAGCTATACATAGTTTTCAGCAATGTATTTTCAACATACTTAGCAGTTCTGCAACAGAAAATAATTTAAACGAAATAAATAATCAATTAACAAATGCCTTACTGGAAAGTCGAAACAAATTCTGTCCTAGATCGTAAAAAGAAGAGAAAATTTGTCAAAACACCAGGCAACTAATGGAGAAAAGAAGAGAAATGAGAAGCGAGATGAATACTTAAGCCGATAAATAAAGAATTATCTAAAGTTGTTAGACAAAACACTCGAAAATACAACCAAGAATAAATTGAACGTACCATTGAGTAAGAGTAAAAGAACGGGGACAAGGCAGATAATAAAGATTAAAATAGAAATGGTCATCTTACAACCAACAGAGAGGAAACCTTAAAATAGTTGAAGACTTCTACAAATTGCTGTTCACAAGCCAACACAAAGCAAATAGCAGAGAAGATCAAGTACCAGAAATATTAAGAAGGAAAAAGGACATTGTCAACCAATGATCGGAACTACTACCGAAAATCACAATAGACGAAATAAAACTAGCCCTAAGAAATGCTAAGAATAACAAATCTTCAGGCGAAGATTGTGTAGTTACCGATTCAATCACAATAGGAGGGATTTGCCTACTTAAGAAAATAAAAAGCCTTTTTAACATGTGCCTTTTGGACAGAAATATACCCGACAAAAGGCACAATGCTAAGGTAATTCTATTGTCAAAAAAAAGGAGATCCCATGAATTAGAAAATTACAGACCTATAAGTCTTCTCAGTCGCCTACAGAAACTCCTTAAAGAGCATTTAAACGGTTATAGAAAAGACTATTGAATACAATCGACCATTCGTTCTGACTTTTGCAGTTTTCCAAAACCTTTGATATGGTAGAATTTGATAAAATCCTGGAAGCACTAAAAGCATGCCGCATTGACTACCGATATACAAGGTTAATTTACAACACATACAAATGTGACGTAACTATGTCGGTGAATCTAAATAAAACCACGAATCATATACCAATCTGAAGAGGAATCCGACAGGATGATACCTTATCGCCTAAACCGTTTACCACAGTACTAGAATATGCTTGTAAAAAACTGAACTGGAAAAAGAATGGCCTGAACATTCACGGTAGAAGATTAACAAATTTGAAATTCGGAGTCGATATAGTTTTGTTTTCGGACAACCTCAAGAAGATATGTACATGAACTTGCGTGCTTGTGTGGGTCTTAAAATAAACATCTCCAAAACAAAATTCAGGACAAACCTAGTATCTAGTGCAAATATCAATATTGGATACAACGAAGTAGAGCTGGTGGAAAAATACATATTCCTTGGACACGAAATAAAGATCACAAGAGACAACCAAACATGCAAAATACGAAAAAGAATAAACCTAGCATGGCTAGCCTATGAAAAACTCAAAGATCTCTTTAAAAGCAATATACCATGTTCTTTAAAAAGTAAAACATTTGACCAATGTGTGTTACCTGAGATGACCTATGGTGCCAAAACTTTATCATTGACAACTTCTAAAACGCTGCAAACAGCTCAAAGGAAAATGAAATGGTCAATGCTAAGTATATCACTTCGTGACCGAGTTAGAAATGAAGACTAAAGACAAAGAACGGGAGTTGCCGATGTAATTTTCCTAATTGTCACACTGAAATGAAACTGGGCTGTACACGTCGCCCAATTAGCGATCAAAAATGGACGAAAAGATTGTTTGAGTGGAGGCTGAGGTTAGACAAAAGAAGTAGAGGAAAACCCCCTATTGGTTGGACTGACTATCTCAAGAAAATGTCAAAAAAGTGAATAAAAGGTACTCAAGATATAGCACAATGGACAAAAATGAGGGATGACTATGTCCAGATGTGAACACAAATTGCTGGGTGATAATGATGATAGTACAAATGATCACCTTCGTCATCTCAAAATGAATACAAAAGAAGTGGGGATAAACTGTAATTCTTAGAAGAACAAACGTAAAGTAAGAAAACTTGATGGACTAGAAGTTTGGGTAAATTATAAACAAAGCTAAAGTGTATAATAACTCTAAAGATACTTTAAACAGTTGTTGAACTGAATTATGTTATTAAATAGCCTCAAAATGAGTAAACTGAAAAAAATATTCCAGTAATAGTATAGGCAGCGATGTGCAGAAGATACTAGATAAAGACGGTAATGGTAATTATGATGATGATACTAATATAAATTTTACCTCATATCGCTGTTCATCCAAAGCCAGTAAAGCCACAAAGGCTGTGATTTGTAATATAAAATCGAACAGAACTGCCACAGTGGCATATAGCGCGAAGGTGTGAACTGCAGGCATGCTAGACAGAGTACCTAAAATGTTAATACAAATATTAATATTAATTACAATACAATTTTAAGTTCTTTGTGAAAAGTGTCACTATAAACTGAATATATTACCTATTGCAAAACAAAATATCTCGGAAGAGCTAGTAAGCAAGATACTTGGTCCAACCTGAGCCATTGTCTCCGCTATATTTTCTGGAATACTTTTGTTGTGGTCTCTGAAAAGTCATCACATTATTACCTTAACACATCCTAAATAACTTAAATTAGTTACCTTTCTTTTCTTTGGTGAGTTTGCACTATAATAAAAATGTTATCTACTCCTACAGCTAGTACCAAAAACGGAATTACTTCAATGGTTAACATTGTGGTAACTACTTGAAAATATCCACCTAATCCAACGGCGCAACCCACTGAGCTGAACACGATTATTATGCCTCCAAGACCAAGAGAGAATTTGGATTCAAGCTAAAAAATTGTAAAGATTATAAAATAAACTTTGTTAAAGTATTTTGAGAGAGATTTTTGAAAACCATTTGTTCCCCATAAAGTTACTATACAAATATTATGGATATAGCAAAAGATGCCGAAGAATAAAAAGTGTCCAGCAAAAGGTGTGATGGTAATACTTCACTTTCCAAATCTATAATAGCTGATTGACTTCTATTAACTGATCTGACATTAGATTAATGAAAACGGATTGTTTTATTAATCTAAGGATTTGCCTATCACAATCTCAGATCTAAATGTTCTTTGTCTACATAAATTTAAATATTTGTTTGTACATAAGTATTTTATGGTAAATTGCCGATTTGATTGGCTTGAATTATGTTGATAATAATTATTTTAAAATATTTTTTATTTTTTAAATATTTATAAATAAATTATGGTTAAATCAAAAATAGATGATTTTGATTATATTTTCACAGACAATCCTTTTTCTGATTTCTTAAAATTTCATGTACTCAAATGAACTATCCTCCAATAAAGTCATCCCAGTTATGCATCTTCAAAACCTTGATAATATCATTTTAAAGTCCTCTGTTTTAATACATATAGGTATATGAGTGTGCTTTTCAACCCTTTCAGTCATGTTGGGTATAATTGTACCCATTAATTTGAATGCATATATAATTCTACAGGAATATGTAACTTAAACCAGTTTAAAGAAATGTACATTGTGTAAGTATTATAGTTCTGCATTTTTACCCAGATTGGATGGTTTTATTCTATAAGAAAATTAATCTCAAAAGCAATATGGCGGCAATTACATTACTAGGTAAATGTACTATTGTTGACAGCTATTTGTTTTATGATGTTGAGTTCGTTATTAAAGGAGTCAGTAGACATAGGTATTGAATATAGTCTGTGGATGAAACTTCTGAAAGCAGCTAATTTATGTGATAGAGGGTGATTGGAGGAAGAATGAATAACATAATCGGTTTGGGTAGGCTTGCGAAACATTCCAAAGTCAAATTGATTGTTAAGTCTGGTAATAGATAAATCTAGAAAATTAATGGCTTGGGAGGATTCTAGTTCCATGGTAAATTTGATATTTGGGTGGATTTGATTGATTTTAAGAAGTAGTTATTAGGCTGAGTTATGATTACCTGACATGAAGACTAAACAGTCATCGACATGACGGAACCAGTGTAAAATTTCAGGATTTTTGGTGATGTGATTGGATTCTAAATGATCCATAAAGACATCGGCCAGGAAGGGGAATAAGCAACTGCCCATTGCTAAACCATCAGGTTGTTTATAAAATTTGTTGTTGAATAGGAAGAAATCTTGAGATAGGCATAATTCAAGAATATCCAATATCGATGAAATGACGTTGGACTGATTCGACTTGTTGACTAAAAGTATTTTTACCAGACTAAGAGTTTCAAGTTTGGGCACTGAAGTAAATAAATTGCTAGCATCAAAAGAAAGCATAGTAATGTCATGATTGAGACTAATGAGTTGAAGTTTATTTACCAATTGATATGAATTATTCTATGACAGTATTCTGTGGAGTAAAATTAATTAGATATTTTATAGTATTAAGTATGAATTTAGATAAGATAGATACTGGAGTGTTAATGATACTGACAACGGGACGAATGGGAATTCCAACTTTATGTATCTTGGGCAAGCCATACAACCTTGGAATGAGACGGTTACCAGGTAGTTTGCTATAGGAAGCATCATGATTAGAAAGAAATTCTGAATGGTTTTTGATATGATCTTTGAATTTGGATATAAATCTCTTAGAAGGATCAGTTGATATAAGAGTGAAGTGATTGTCATCTAGAAAAGAGGAGACTTTATTGTCATATGAATCACGATCTTGAATAACCAAACAATTACCTTTATCAGCTTTAGAAAAAATTAGGTTGTGTCTTAAAATATTTCTTTAATTTAATTGGTCAAATTTTTAATAAATCATCCCAAATTTTGGCATATGCAGATGATGTTGACCTAGTTGCCCGCACAACACGCAAACTAGACGAAATGTATACCACCTTGTCAAATGCCTCAAAAAATATGGGCCTGAAGTAAATGAGAAGAAAACTAAGATAATGGCAATAACACCCAATATTAGAGCCAGAAACATAGGCCACCAAGTCACTGATGATAACTCTACCTTTGAAGTGGTGGAAAAATTCACATACTTCTCCTTAGAACAGTCTAACCCTCGTAGAAGAATCCTTATGTCACAACCTGTGGGAAGTAGAAGTAGGGGTAGGCCAAAACTCAGATGGAGGGATGGTGTAGATGAGGATGGTGGAAAAATAGGCGCAGCAAACTGGCAACAGTTGGCAATAGATAGAACTGACTGGCGTAGTAGACTTGGGAAGGTCGAGGCTCTTTTATAGGGCTGTAACATCAATGATGATGATGAATCGGTCACTTTATTTAGAGCGACTAATCTAATTGAACCTTCTTCCTTCCTATCTTCTTCCTGTGCGTAATTTTCCCAGTTTCCTTCATCGAGACAAAATATTTAAAAATACAAATAACATAGTGTTAACATCTTATTTACTAAAAATATTAATAATTACCAGAATGTTATGAAAAGATGTGAATTTTCCTAGGTTTATTATTATGTAAATGAACATAACGGTGTAACTTATAATAACTGTCCACATGGTCGATTTTGAAAGCTCTTGGATCTCATCTTGTATGGATCTTTCGGCACTAAAAGCAATTGACATGTTACTAGGTCGCTCACTTTTGTCCCAATGTTTTAAAAATTCAATGAATCTGTAAAAAAAATAAATTTTATGAGCATATCACGTTGTAACCTACACCATATTTAGATAATAAAATTGCGAAGGAGAATGTTGTCGAAGATAATAAAATTACAATCAATAATTATACAATCAGACAATATGCAAATCAATGCCATAGCTTTTTTGTTAATATTTTAATATTTAAATTCTTACAAACTTATCCAAAAAAAATATTACGATGCCAGATACCAAAGGCAAAGGAGGAGAAGGAGACAAAGACGGTCCCAACAACTATAGAGGTAAAAATCTATTGAATATCGCACTGAAGCTTACTATAAAAGTTTTAACAAACATAATCAATCAATTGATAATACTGACAGTACTTTAAAGTCACGGTTAAAAAGTGAGGAACAGAGAACAGAGCAAATAGCACATGGTGCTGCACTAACTGACTGACCCACATTTTCAATACAACAAGCAAATAATATTATTGCATTTTTCTTGTGTTGATTTCACTGCCGTTATAATTTCCTGCTACGAATTTTCTTGCTCTTGTCTATGGTAGCATAAACTACTTTTTTTATTAGGTACACCTTCTAAAATTTTTCCATTTATCTAGTTTTCGTGATCTCATATTATTTATGGTTGTAGTTGTTGCCGAAATGTACTGATTCATCTTAATTTATCTAACCAGATGTTCTTACCGCTGTCTCTTTAGTCTTCTAATTATTGATGAAGCATTGACAACCGCGTTGATTAGTTCATTATTATGGTTTCAGTTTCTATTTCTGTATTTAGCTTTATTTATTCAGCTTTTTAGAGCAGCAGACTTAACTTAAAGATCAACTAAGGACAAAAACCTTAAAACAAGAAGAAGACATTAACCAACTATGGGCAAATATACAAGATATTGTGTTAGGGAAATCGACTGAAATATTGGGCAAAACCAAGTCAGAAAAAACAAATCATTGGTTTGATCATGAGTGCGGAATGGTCACAAATAGAAAGAACGCAGCATATCAAAAAACCATTGACACAGGTTGTACACGGAGCATAAAAGAACCTTATAGACGTCTTATAAAAGAGGAAAAACGTATCCATCGACGTAAGAAGAGGGAATACAAACAGAACAATCACAATGAGGTACAAAGTTTATTCGATAAAAATAAAACGAGGAAATACTATAAATCCTTATATAATAGCCTTCGAGAATTTAAACCAAAATTAAAAATTTGAAACAGACTAACGGTGAAATTCTACATGATAAAAACTCAGTTCTTAACAGATGGGCACAACATTTCATTGCGAACATCTAAATATGTATAAACGATATTGAAGGAGGTTACAACATAAAAGATCAACAAAATCTAAAACGTCAACTACACAGTGAAGACCCAACAAGAGAATGTCAAATGTCATCGTAAAACTCAAAAACAATAAAGCCCCAGGAATTGATGAAATCTGTTAATAAACTAATAGTACTTATATGGCAGAATGAATTGGTACCAGAAGAGTGGCTAAAGGGAATAATATGGCCGTTGCTTAAAAAGGGTGATGAACTGGAGTGTAAGGACTATAGAGGCATAACTCTATTAGCATCTGCGTATAAAATCTTCAAATAAACATTTTAAATTATATTTTTAAGTAGACTTTGTACTGTAGGACATTTGAAAAATAGTTTTTTAAAATCGGTTATAACTGTATAATCAAAATTATTAATATTCTTGAAAATCGTGAAATATTAAATAGACCATGTCTTAGTTGATATGTTTTTATTGCAATATAATTGTTTCACTAATTATTTTATTAAACATAATTTAAAATTTAAACAAATACTTACTTCTGTTCCCACACCAGCGTATCTTCTATTTCTGATGACTCAACACTGTTCTTTGTCAAAAATGTTAATGAAACTCCAACTGCGTCCATGTAACTTTTATCTTTTGTTCCTGCTCCCAAAGCTATGCCAGGAAGAATTGGTCCTCCATAAGGCGCTAAACAGCTCATACTATAGGGTGCCCTAAAATATATTTTTTTAATATTTATTTATATAGATGAGCAGTTCTTTTGGTAAAAGGTATAAAGAAAAAAGAAAAAAACACAGTATTTTTTAAATTCATCTAAAATGCGCACTCTATTAGCGTGATTTTTTTTATTTGTTGTTACCATTTAAACTTGTTTCTTAATTAAACCTGTCATGTTAAGATTTTTGTACACAATTGCGTTAATTGATAAATATAATAAATTAGATTTGGTCTAATGAAATTGATCTTTTAAAAGCCATAATATTATCTCTAGCATTCTGGGGTAATTAATGACAAGTGATTCTCAGACTTGACAGACATATGAATAAAGCCAATTTTAACACGATAATTCCAATATATGAAATTAGCTTCTATATAAGGTTAAATAGATGTTAAATATATTAAGGATATTAAAACAAAATATATAAAATATTTACTAAATATTTTTCCAAACAAATAGTAAAGTTCTTAATAACATTTTCTCTGATGTTTTATTCCAAATAACGTCAAAACATATTATTTTAATATTGGTAAGAAAACATTTTGTTACCTGCATAGATAATTTGCTAATTGTTTGTGTTAACTCCATACTTTTATATTAAATGTATCAATGGTTGTAAACTGAGTTGATAACCGCGGATAGTCGATAGTTGCAAATAGAAAAATACTTACTGTGTGCATCCGATAATGGTATCATATGCCTTGGTTACATTATTCCAAAATTTATCTATATCGTTTTCAAAATATCCTAACAAAGACATAACAGTACACTCATCTGTAGTTGGTGTTCCTGAATAGATCGTTCTCATGGGAGCATAGCATATATCTTTTAGTCCTTTGGTTACAGTATTGCCTTTATTGTCAGTTGATTCAAACGTAATCTACAAATATAAAATATACAAATTGCAATATTTAAAGTAAGTACTAATACTAAGAATGGTTTATTTCATATTTCGCACAAGCAATATTTTTGTCTTCACATCAAAGTGTCTTTAATGCATGAAAAGTTTGAGAAAGTAAAATTATTTGATATAGAACACGAAGAATAAGAAGGAATGGTAAATCGTGAGCTAATCAGAAAAAGTTCACCAAAGAAAGCACCGAGTCCAGAAGAAATCACTAACAGAGTCCTGAATATCTTTCTTCAAAAGCAATTATATATCTGACTAGCATAACAAACGCAATACTACGATATAGGCTCTTTCCAATCCGATAAAAGAAAGCCCATGTAATCATGATAAGGAAGTCAGGAAAGAACCACATATTTCAGCAAAATTACAGGCCGATTAGTTTACTTTCAGCAGTAAGTAAGATGGTAGAGTGAGTCATTCAAACCAGACTCCAATCAAAGACAGATAGGCTAGGGTTAATCCCAGAAGCACAATTTGGATTTGGAGCTCAACATCTAGTAAACTACAAGTACTCAGACTTACAGAATACTTGACTGTTGGATTCAATGACAAGCAATAATATAGAGAAGCAGATTTTCTTGCTGAATGTAAGCAAACATTCGACAGAGTTTGGCAACAAGGACTGACATACAAAATGAGAGATTATAGGTACAGCGGGGATATCTAAGCGATCGGAGATTCCGTGTCCAGATAGGATCTGGTTAGATTCAGATAGTTCTATCTGAGCACGGAATCTCGGAAGCTGAAGTACCACAAAGGGTAGTCTTATCACATATTCTGTATAGCATATACACAGGAGATGATTTAGGATGTTATAAGAAATGTACAGACGGTACTGGATATGATAGAAGAATGGAGTATTCAACGGAAAATACCAATAAATCTAGAAGAAAAGATCCAAGCGGTTATCTTTAAAATGGACGTACAAATTGAATGGCAAACCAAAGCTAAATACCTCGAAGTTACAATGGACGAAGGTCTAATATCCACACCACATGTTAACGCGAAAGTCCAGAAAACAGCAACGGCCAGAGCCGTAATAAAAGGACTCATAGGAAGAAGAAGCAAATTAGCTAAAAAAAAGACTGATAAACAGCATCATACTACCAATAACTACATCTCTTTCATGGTGACACACAGTCACAGCAACACAAATAAAATTCAAGCATCACACAACTGCCTTAGAGAAGCTGCAAACGTGCCCAGATACGTCGCTGAACGATTCCTATTTAAAGAACTAAAACAAATAAGGGTACTTTATATGATGGAGGAAAAAGCAAAAACAAAATTCGCTGAGTGTGAAGACCACACAAAGCGGATCCTGCGAGGGATATTAAGGTATGATGTAAACCATAGATGGAAATACATAAGACACAAACAGCAAACATTACTAGATAATAGTAGCTCTATCCAAAGAAGAAAATGCGCTCACCTTTGGCATGGCACTATATTTACTAATTTTGATTTTTTATGTTTCAGACAGCCCTCAAAAAAAATCTACAAAAAACAAAAAAAGCTTCGGTTGCCAAAAAAAAATTAATAAAACACTAACAAAAGGAGCACAAAAAATACTAACAAAACCCAAGAAGCTGACTAGAGAGGCCCACATTCTCCAGCGCCGAGTCACCGAACTTTGCATAGCCAAGAGCTGAGACTCCAGGCCCAAGCAAGCAATATAGATCGATGATAAGTCACTAGAGATAGCGGAAATACAGCGCATTGTTCGTAGCAGAATTTCATGTCGGAGCCTTGTACCGAGGACTCCCGCACTTTTCTGGTATGAGAACCTCTATAGCGCATCAGAGCGCTATCAGGAGGGAAAGTGGATGGTCTGGAGTATTTGGGGCATCAGAGTGATTCTTGGTTACACGAGTTTTCCTCCTCGATTCAATGAATTCTATTATCCTAGGTGTGCAAGTCTCTTAGGCTGTGTTAAACTATTGCTTACTTGCTTGCTGCGCGACTATATTTGTTAGCACGGCTCTGCCAAAAAGAAGGAAATTATTTAACTGAGTGTACTCTGCTGAATATTTGCAATAATAATGGACTTGAATTGATTTTCTTTTAAAGTTTAATTACATGAAATCATTCAAAAACCTATTCATAGAGAGACTGATGCTTAAGGATCGTGTGATATTCACAATAAATGTGGGATGCAAGTCATCTTAAAACGCAAATTTAATAGCGCATTCAAAGATAGAAGTCAACAGACTGACTGTAGTTATAAAATGAACTTCAAATGTAGGTTTTAACATAAGATCCCCACCCCAAAAAAAATTTACTTACGTTTTCAATCTGTTTTTGTAGTTTAAAGACTTCAACCAAAAATTCGGCATTAAAAGCAGGACCCATGGTAATATTTTCGTCATACTGAGTTTCGTGGATAAACTGAAAAATAAAATATTGTAATAAAAATAATAAATTGGATAAACAGTTCTGAAACTGTTCTTTTGTGGCATGTGGCAAGTTAAATACGATGTTCATAATAAATAGACTTATATTAAGACATGCCACAAGAGTTTCAGAATATTTATATGTTATATTAAAAAAAAAATTAAATATTTTATATTAAAGTAGCTGACTAAGCAATAAGCTCTTTTTTCAAGCTGTTAAGTAACAGAAATCTCTGGGTAATGAAATGAATCCAGTCGAAGTGTTAATAGCGACTTTACCATTTCCAATATCTAACAACTGTCTCGAAAAACACTTGCACTTTAATCTTGTTGCAAAAATATTTGCATGTTATGTGTCAATTGGAGCGTCTTTATATGGCGGCACAAATTGAACGATGTTAGGTATGCATTCTTCTTATGATGCCCTATCCAATTAGTGGATGTTGGCGACAATTTTGGAATACTCCTCTCGATCTTGTGTGGCTCTAAAAAGTGCATGGGCATCGAGATTTGTCCAATCCCTTATGTTTTTAAGCCGTGAGTATTTCTTTTTTCCCATGCTTCGTTTTCCTTCTATCTGCCCTTCCATAATAAGCATATCTTAATCCGCAGCAGTTAATTGGGGAATTATTAAATAAGGAACAGACTGAAAATAGAATCGTGGCTTCACCAAAAATGTTTTCGATTGTCACTTGACACGAATATCGTTTGCCAATAACAATAAAATTAGTAATATCTTTTCTGTACATCCCCAGCATCAAGGAAGTAAAATCCACCAGATCTAATGTTCACGCTTCTATCAAAGTATCTCGTTTCATACACTATACCATTATCTATACTAGGATCTTAACATATTTGGTTAGCATCGTACGCATCAATTTCCATAGCAGTCCACCAATAGATCAGTCACTTAAGTTTGCAATTGCATTACAAATGGATACCACATCCATCAAAGTAGCTCAAGCAGTAACATTATTAAGCCAAAGGAGCGTGACAAATCGACTAAATTTAAGCCAATCTGCTCTCTCCCGAGTGTATTGTCGGTACCAAGATACTGGTGATTATGTCCGCTGATAAGGAAGAGGCCGTAAACGAATAACAACGAAGATAGATGATCGATTTCTTGTATGGAAAACTCCGAAAAAATCTACATTTGACTGGTGCTAGTCTCAAAGAAAAGCTTAGAGAGGTCCGAGGTATAGTAACCAGAATTTGGACAGTCAAAACGAGACTGGAGGCAGCCAACCTGGTACCAACAAGGACAGCTACGGGTCCCAAGCTAAGTGCAGCCCAGAAGCGAAGGAGATTAGAATTCGCTTGCAAATTTTTTCCAGCAATTTTTTGTGCAGAGGTGAATTTGAGCTCAAGATGGTATTTGGTAGTCTTTGATGAGTTAATTAATCACCCAATCACCGATTTGTTGTGCTGTGTCTTATGTGAGGAGTTTTGTAAAGAATCGTTACTACAATTTAAGAGCTCCACATGGTTTTTAAGATGTCATTATATCAATATATCAATACTGACATCTATTTGGTTAATCATAGCTTCCTATGTTACTCATAGCATGGCGCCATCTATTAGTTATATTGCGATTTACAATGTCGGGAAAGACTGTTTAAGATCCTTCCGTACAATTTTTTGAAAATTATTTTCTACACAAACCTTCTCCTGATAATAACAAACAACAAAAAAAGAATTATCCAATTTGATGCACTCGTTCTAAAGTGATACCCGTACAAACACTTCGGCGATTCATTTTTATTCGTATAGAGAATGTGATGAATGAATTCGAAAACATGTTAAATAATACTAAACTTACTGAATTTAATCCCACAGTTTTAATAAAAATTTGATTGGTTCTGTAAAAAGGTCCAAAGTAGGTGTCAAAAAAAGTCTTCTCCAATCTGCTTTCACTATTCGGCGCAGCCCAAAGTTCAACAGGATTCACAGTAACCTTTAGCATGCCACTGCCAACAGTTAAAATACCTACTATAGCAGCACACATAACTAGTACTTTTATTCTTTCTTTGGCAATAACTGAAAAACGTTTTATTAAAAAAACAGTGAAATATAAATATGGTAAATAAATAAATTTCTCTGTGTTGTTGTACGGGGCGGAGGCATGGATGCTTACAGACACCACTATTAAAAAACGTGAAGCATTTGAGATGTGGCTTAATAGAAGAATGCTGAGAATATCATGGACAGCAAGGATCACGAACAAGGAAGTTCTAGGAAATATGAAGAAGGAACCAGAGATTTTATTTACGATCAAACGCATAAAATTGCAATATCTGGGACTTCTTCTTCTTCTTCGTCTAGCCATTCACGTCCACATCTGAACATAAGCCTCTTCAAGTCTTCCTTTCCATTGTTTTTTATTGTACGCTACTTGTAGCCAATTTTTCCGGGCAGTCCTTTTCAGATCATCTGTCCATCTCATAGGAGGTCTGCATCTGGGTCTTTTGTGTTGGTATGGTCTCCAGGTTAAAATTGATCTGTGCCATTTGTTTAGATCGCTCCTAGCTACATGTCCAGCGTATTTCCATTTCAACTTTAATGATTTTTGCACCACATCGGTGACTTTGTTTTTATGTCTTATCCATGTGTTTGTTTTCTTGTCCTTAAGTGATATACCTAGCATTGCTCTTTCCATCGCGTGTTGAGTGACTCTAAGTATATTCATATTCTTTTCTGTGATTGTCCATGTTTGTGCCGCATAAACTTTAGATCTAAGATGTAATTGAATTTGTTGATTTCTGAGTATATAGTTTAGTTTACCGAATGCTGCCCAAGCTAACTTTCTTCTTCTTTTTATTTCTTCAGTTTGAATTTCCCTATTTAGGATTATTTTTTGTCCTAAGTATATATATTCTTCAACTTTTTCTATAACTTTATCGTTTATTATTGTAACAGTGTCTTCGGGGTGCATGACTTTTGTTTTGTTTAAATTCATTTTCAGTCCTATTTTAGAAAATTCGGTATGTAGTTCTAAAAGCATGCTTTGCGTTTCTAAAAGCATAGTTTGCATTTCTTGTAGGTCAGTAGCTATCAGGATTATGTCATCTGCAAATTGTAGATTACTGAGGTAGCGGCCATTGATGTTTATTCCCTTATATTTCCAATTTAGGTTTTTAAAAACGTCCTCCAAAACTAAGGTGAACATTTTGGATGATAAAGTATCTCCCTGTTTGACTGCCCTGTTTAATGGTACAGGGTTCGTGTGTTCATTTTCATTTAGATAGTATGTAGCTGTAGCTTGGTTCATAGTTTCTTTTATTAAGTTAATATATCTTCTGTCTATTCTACAATTTTGCATTGCGTTTATTACGGCCGTGTATTCTATGGTATCAAAAGCTTTTTCGTAGTCTACAAATGCTAGGAAAACTGGAAACTTGTATTCGTTACATTTTTCTGTCTGTAGTTTTCCAATTTTCGACTATCACCTTTGTTGTGTAATAAAATTACTTTAGAGTTGTTCCAGCTCCTAGGGACTTTACCCTGATCTCTTTTCATGTATTCTTTTTCTTTCTAGTTTTTTGTTAATTCTTAGTTTTGTTCTTATTAGTCTATGATCGCTTTCTAGGTCAAACTGATTTAATACTGATACGTCTTCTACTAGGTTTCTATTCTTCCTTAAGATATAATCTATTTCATTCTTTGTCTTTTTATCGGGGCTCATCCATGTCCATTTTCTGCTTGGTTTTTTATTCATGAAATTGAGAAGCATTTCTCCTCTATCGTTTCTTTTCCCGTAGCCATAGTTACCAATTAAATGTTCATAATCTTCTGGGACACGTTATGAGAAATCAGCACCGTTACTCCCTGCTGCAGTCTATATTGAAAGGTAAAGTCAAAGGTAAGCGAGGACCCGGTAGAAGGAGAATATTATGGCTGCGGAATTTAAGAACATGGTTTAAAAAAAACTCAACGGAGCTGTTTCGAGCCGCAGCGAGCAAGGTTATGATTTATATATGAAAAAAATGAGAAATTAGGGAAGAAGATTAGACGAATATCAGCCATATTTAGAGTCCATTTTTCTTTATATGATAGGTGTCATTATTGGTTTATCCTTTTGGCTTCGATTGTATCTGTTGTGTTTACTTCAATTTCTATTTCTCTCCGAATATATTCGTTCTTCATCCTACCAAATAATAAACCAACAACATAGACTATCATAGTTCATTTCCATGGCCTTAATAGTTGTTAATTTTGTTTCTTTGATTTATTTCCAAGAGTTTGGATCTGTGTAATCCAATACTCTATATTATTGTTTTCTAAATGCTTTTTTTAATTTCTTTTGTAATTTTATTAGTCCACAATAGTTCACATAACTGTCCAGTAGCTGATCATACTTGGCCAATCCTGGAATTTATTTCTACGTTACAATCTGCTTTTATGCTGCTTAATTTTCCCAATACTGCCATACAAATGTGAAAATTGGACCCTACGACAAACGTAGACGCTACTGAAACATTGTGTTAAAGTAAAATGTTACGAATTCCGTATACCGACCACAGGATAAATATTTTAATTTTAAATGAGCTAAAAGTCAGCAAACGGCTATCCAAGTCTATCTCCAATAATTAAAATGCTTTGGACATATTATGAGATCTGACACAAAAAAATGGAAAGACTTATTATCCAAGGAAATGTAGAAGTCCGAAGATCACGAGGAAGATCTCTAACAAGACCTATGCATGAGTTTCATAAGCCCTATGAGAAAAAAACGACCAGAGACAAAGATCTTTGGAGACGGGCAATACACGACATCACGATAAGCACCACTACACTCCCTCCAGTGGATCGGGATTGAAGAGAGAAAGGACCTGGTAATGCTATCTTCGAAAATGCTTAAAAACTAATATTAAAATACTTACTATATGCAATATGATAGAAACAATTTTCGAAGATTTGGTTTATCTTATCATTAGTACTCTTTACGTTAGCTGCACACTTTCCTGAAAATATAAATGGTTATTAAGCGATATGCAATTAACTGCTAAATGCTACTATACATTTACACACAAAATTTCTGGGCGTACAATAAGTATCCAGTACAGAACAAAAAAAATCTAATGAAACAGATGTTAATACATAGTTTTTAGTGTAGGTTTGGCAAAGAGGATCTTCAGATTAAAAATTACATTACAGAGCTCTTAAGTTAATTTTGAGTATAGTTTCAAGTTCTCCTTGTAATATTCTGCTCTTTATGATACGATTGAAAGTCAACTTCGTTCTCTTGAGAACGTATTTATTCATGATTGCCAGTAGATATGATCCGACTATGGCAGATCTTCGCAGTTTTTAAGATCTTTTGTTTCCGTGTCCATGAAAAATATCGGAGAAGCTGCAGAAGTTACAACTTTATAAACAAGATTGAGTGGGCTAATAAGGTTTTTACAAAGTAAAGTTCAAAATGAATACAAAAAATTATTTAGCAACGGAAGCTTTTGGTTTACCGACTGAAAATAAAAAAAATCAATAGCGTTGTTGCCAAGAAAAACGTAAATTTGCACAAGCAAGGTACTGATCAGCACTTAGCGACCGCTGCTGGGTTAATAAATTATGAGGTTTACAGGTGTATATTTTGTGAAGGAAAGCATGACAGTACAAACTGCCGATCTTCCATCAAGGTGCTGTGGTGTTAGGCAATTGTTCGAATCGTGATGGTGGGATGGCCCGAAATGGTTGTACAGAAAAGAAAATGATTAACCCCAACAATAAGTAGAAGTTGATGAAGAAGCAGTCTTTACTGAGAAAAAGAAAAAGCCAGTTTATCACTATTGAATATGAGGTCCGATAATTGACATCTGCATTACTTTTCTCAGTACATAAAACTTTTAAAAATGATAGCTTGAGCGCTACGTTTTTGTTATAACACAAGAAATTCAAACGAAAAACGTACAGATGAATTGGTAGTTAAGGAAATCGATTCAGCCGAAATGTTTGTATTGAAGCTAGTGCAGAACGAAGCATTTTGCTGTCCATTTTAAAAGAATGTGGTGTGTGCAAGAGACAAGAAGGGAAATCGGTCGAAGTACATATGCTTTCGCTGCCGGCTGATAGAGTTCGTGATGTTACAGGTTTTGAAATATCTGAAGTGGGCTTAACTAGATCTCTTTATTTGAAATAGGGCAAAAAACCATGGGTTTGTTTGTTCACATTTGCCGTTTATCCTGCAGTTTATCCGAAACGCGTTATCTCGTTGTCAACAAATGCCTTTATTCAAGCCTTTTGTCACTTTGTTGCAAGACGAGGAAGCCCGAGAATAGTTTATATTGACAATGGAACAAATTTTACGGGATTCGAGAATTTGGACTGGAATACTATCGCGGAATATAGTTCTACACAACGTATTAAGTTGCGTTTCAACCGCCTACAGCTGTATCGTGGGGAGATTTCGGGAACGATTAGTAGTTATTGTGAAAGGACTTTTGCGAAAAGTTTTTGGTCGATTTTCTTTCAATTATGAAGACTTATTGACGTAATTGTGTGATTATGAGAGTATAGTTAACTCGCGTCCATTGACGTATTTTTGGATGATCCTACTGCTAACTGCGTTAACCTCTAGTATGTTTTTACAGGAACAAGTCACTTACGAGTTGCCGAATTATGATTTGCTAGAGTAGAAGTCTCTCACGTGCAAAATACGACATTTACAAAAGTTGAGACATCATTTGCTTGAGACATCATCTGGCTCGACTTAATCAGAAACGTAGAAGACAAAGGTGTCTAAAGTGTCTATCGGTAATGTAGTTTTAGTCGTCAATGACAACACCAAGCGTCTTCAGTGGCTTTTAGGAAAAGTTATTGAACTTATGCCTGATAGGGATGACCAGGTGCAGTTAGTTCATCTTCTGATGTCATTACAAAGGCTTTACCCGGTGTAAGTCGTCGAGGCAGTTACTGCTGAGTAGAATATCCAAGGTAATACTCTAACCTGTGAAAGTGAGGCGGTTTCAGAAAGGTTACCTCAAGAGAATGTTTGTCGCCTCCAGTTTGAGGAAGAACCAAGTAAAAAGCGATTTTTTCTTGACTTGCAATTTTTCGTGACTATATGTATTTTTAAGAAATTATGTCAAATTTCTTAAGGTGAAAGAATGTCGAATAACTACTTAATATGTTTAATAAAAAAACTCCCTAATCAGTGCATTGTCTTTTCAGCTGAGTGCTGGTGTGAGGCAATTAAATTTTACAACTTTTTAATCTAGGAGTATCATATTATTAATATTAAAATTGCGTAAGAATTGTCGAAAAAAGATACTTACTAATGTTCCATAAGCCCTTAGGTATTATAAATTTGCTAAGTATAATCACTCCTATTGCGGAAAACACAGCCATGAATAAAAATAAGCAAGCAACAATAAAGGCATAAATATTAAAAGTGTTCCAAATCAGAGATTCTTTTTCCAGTTCTTCATACTTTACACCTTTGCAATTAGCCGGACAGTCACTACAACTGCAGGCACTTTTATTTGGCTAAAAGATAAAATATTATTAATAAAGAAATTGATGTGTTAATATGTTCATGAATTAGAAACTTTAACTGTACTCTGCATTATTAACTTTTAATAATTTATTTCTATAAAATGCTGGATAAATTTTGAAGAGATTCCTCTTAGTGTTTTAATTCTTACAGAAGTAATATTCCTACCGGGTAGTTTTACACCGAAACCCCAAATAGAGTAAGTTAACTATAGTCAGAATCCAGAAATCTAGGCAGTAAATTCTTGGAAGTAATAGTGACGGTTCATCGCTATTGTAGGTCTTCCAGTGGCGTACGAAAAATGTCATAAGAAGTTACGACAGAGCTACTTGTATTAAATAAATATGTACCTATTTATAGTTATGTTAATTTTAATATGATTATTATTGACATTTGGGTTATTATATATATTAATATAATATACATGGTGTTTGGCAACGAATGGCCATAACTTAATCTGAGAATTCTGAGATTAAAATAGGCCGATTTAAACTAACTTACTTTATTACGAATGTTGATAATAACTAAAATAAAGGGTGTCAAAGGAAAACTTTTATTTTTGAATATTTCATGACAGGCATTGTATAACAACACGAAATGTGGTAAGCTGGAGTTTTTTGGGATGAGAAATCTAAATTAGCCACTAAAAATGATGAAGGACGCCACATACGTCTTTCAGTTCTCGGTTAATACGTTCAATTTTTTTATCTCCCATTCGACATACTTTTAGAATCAAAACTTTTATTCTCTTAACATTTTTACTTAGAAAAGATATACTACATCGCCGTACAACTCAATACTTTCTATTATTGTTTTATAAATTTGAGTTATAGGTTCTTCTTCTTAGAGTGCCGTCTCCCTACGGAGGTTGGCAATCATAATGGCTATTTTTATTTTAGAACTTGCTGCTCTAAACAAATCAATCGATCTGCATTGGTACCAATCACGTAGATTCTTTAACCATGAGTTCTGCCTTCGGCCAACAGATTTTCTTCCTTGAATCTTTCCCTGTATTATCAGTCTCAAAATTTCATATTTTGGTCCCCTCATCACGTGGCCTAGGTATTCCAGTTTTCTGGTTTGTATAGTGGTGATTAGTTCTGTTTCTTTACCAACCCTCTCCAGTACTTCTTTATTTGTAATTCTATCAGTCCATGATATTTTCAATACTCTGCGGTATAACCAAAGTTCGAAGGCCTCGATTCTTTTTAAATTACATTTTTTTAATGTCCAAGTCTCAGCTCCATATAATAATATTGAAAATATATAACAGCGAATGGTACGTAGTCTGATCTCCAAATTTAGATTTTTGCACGTTAGGAGTGGCTTCATTCGTATAAATGCTGATCTGGCAATCTCTATTCATCTGTTTATTTCTACAGTATGATCATTGGTTTCATTGATCAAAGTTCCCAAATACTGATATTTTTCTACTTGTTCTATCACGTTACCATTTATTGTCAATAGGCGATGTATATTTTGTGGCCTTTTTGTAATCAGCATGTACTTCGTTTTTTTGGCGTTTATAGTAATTCCCATCTCAGCACTATTTATACTCAAGCTTTCGATAAGATGTTGTAGATCCTCTATACTCGTTGCTATGATCACAGTGTCGTCTGCATATCTTAAATTATTAATTAATTTTCCGTTAACGGTGACTCCCGCTTCGATATTATTGAGCGTGTTTTGGAAAATTTCTTCAGAATATAAGTTAAACAAAAGTGGTGATAACACACATCCCTGTCTAACTCCTCTACAGATCCTCATTTCTTCTGAGTATTGCCCATCAATTTGAACTATGGCACTTTGGTTCCAATATAATGTTTGCACTATATTTATGATTTTACTGTCAATACGCTTGTTCATAAGTATTGATATTAGTTTTTCATGTCTTACTTTATCGAAAGCTTTTTCGTAGTCAACGAAGCACAAGTGTAGATCAACATTCACATCCCAACATCGCTGAATTAATATGTTGATGGCAAATAGTCCTTCTCGAGTACCCATTCCATTTCGGAACCCGAACTGCGTCTCGCTAATATCCTCCTCTAGCCTTTCGTATATTCTCTTATGTATTATTTTTAGCAGAACTTTTAAAGTATGACTCATGAGGCTCAGTGTTCGATAATCAGAGCACTCTTTTGCTGCTTGTTTTTTAGGGATGGTTATAAATGCTGACTTTAGCCACTCCTGTGGTATTATTCCCGTATCGTACACCGTGTTGAATAAATCTGCCAATACTTCCAAGTTGTCCTCTTCCACTAGTTTTAAGAGTTCTACTGGTATTTTATCTAATCCAGCTGCCTTATTGTCTTTAGAGTTTTTGATAGCATATTTGATTTCATCTATCGTGATCTTCTGTATCTCTAAAGGATTTAATTCTTGTATTTTCTGCATTTCACCTCTTTCATCTTGGAAAAGTTCTCTAACGTACTCCTCCCATCGCCTTAACTTCTCTGGTAAATCTACTAGTAGTACTCTTTTTTTGTCTTTATCTGTCCTTACTGTCTATTTCGACCCATTCCAGTCACTTCTCTAATTTTTTTGTGCATATTTCTCATATCATATTTTGTTTCTAGTTCTTCTATCTCTTTACATTGCTTCATCAAATAGATTTCCTTAGCTGTTTTGATTTTTTCCTTAATTATTCGTTGTATTTCTTTATACTTCTGTAGATCTTTTCCTTTATATTTCCTTCTTTCTTCCATCAGTAATAGTATTTCTTCTGTCATCCAGTGTTTTTTAGCCTCTGATTTATGTTTTATTAAACTTTCTTGAGCTGGTTTCAGTAATGAGTTTTTTATATTAGACCACTTTTTATTTACATCCATAATGGATTTATAGTTGTAGGTAATGGATTTTAACAAGAGCTATGACCTTATAAATAATAGGTAAACTTGTGTACTGCATCGGCATGACTTATAATTTTAGGTTAGAAGGTAATAGTTATACCTCCCTAAAACCTAAAAGTGTATACAGAATTGTAAACAATTTTAAACAAAGTGAAGGCAAAATGGATAGACCTGTTGAAACCATTGAAACCAAAGGTAGAAACCGCATCCAGCTTAAAGATCATACCAAATATACTATTCGGAGGAAATTCTATGCTTTCTTTTTTCGGAACGAAATCCCAACCTTAAAGAAAGTTGAAGCTGAAATAAATTCAGATAATTCAATACCCAAAATATCATCATCATCATCATCAGTGGTGCTACAGCTCTAGTTAAGCCTTGACCTTCCCCAGTCTATTTCGCCAGTCGTTTCTGTTCATCGCCAACCGTTGCCAATTTGCCGTGCCGATTTTCCTTGCGTCCTCGTCCACACCGTCCCTCCATCTCAGTCGTGATCTGCCTCTACTCCTATTCATATATTTCCCCAAAATATCACGACGTGCTTTATTGCGAACATTAGAAGAAATGAACATTAAATATATGAAAAGAAGCAGGAATAGTGTTCTTTTAGAAAAAGATAAAATTGTTTTGTGGCGGAGAAAATCCGAGAGTATCGTCGTGAAGGACAAAAACTATACTATTTAGATGAAACTTAGCTAAATTAAGGTCATACTGTCTCAAAGGTGTGGCAAGATTTGGAAATTAAAAGTCGTCGACAAGCCTTCATTGAAGAGCTTTCATAGGTTTAAAAACACGAGTGGGTAAAGGACGGAGGCTCATAATAACACATATAGGCAGCGATTCGGGTTTTTTGAAGAACGACTTTTTACTATTCGAATCCAAGAAAACCAACGATTACCATGAGGAAATGGACGCTCAAAGATTCGAAGGATGGTTTTCAAATATTCTACCAAACCTTGAAGCAAACTCTGTCGTTGTTATGGACAATGCGTCATACCACAGTCGACGGTTGGAGCTATCACCAACGACTGCCTGGCGAAAAGGCAGGCAACTTTTTTATCTATAGTTATTATCAATACGATTTTAGAAACCACCGAGTGTGGACGCCGCTTTTAATAAGTAAGAGTCGAGAAACCGCGCGTAGTATTGCATATTGATACTAAGCCACTTATTAAAGTCACCGTCCTTGGTTCATACCCGATTTAGGTACCTTGAATTGTGAGGGTGCTATTGTGTTTGTTTTGCCTAAACTAGTGTGAATTGAACAGTTAAATCTACGGTTTTAAGTAGGTGAGATAAGAACTTTCCAAAAGGATTTTGACCAAAACTTATTTTAGTGATAGTAAAAAGTTTACCATAAAACTAAATATTTATTAATTCCTTTATTTACTCATTCCCACATCAGTGGTGTCCTTCGAATTTTAATTCATAAATGGCTAATTATCTAAATGGTAGTAAGATTGCAATCCTAATTTCTTGATGATCTTCCATCAAATGCATTCGTTGTTATTCTTTCTTCAACCGGTTCTAAATTCAGCACCGCGTATCATAGATATTTTTCTTTTTTTACACTTCAAGCATTAAACCTTAAGTCTGTTCCGTCCTCAGATTTTCCATCTTCTTCGGAACTGCCCACGTCTCATTTTTTGCTTGTTTTTATTTTACAACCTGCCCTACCAATCAATATTAATATATTTAACTCGCCCTTTATAGCTTCATTTTTAATTTGTTTTTTCAATATACATCCTTTTTTTCTTAAAAATTTCACTTTGGCTTACTGTATTATGTAGCTTTCTTGTTTTGGCACTGTACCGTGTAAGTTTCACTACAATATATTAAAACCGGTGTTGCCATTACCTTCTAAAGGTATGGCAACCTTTTTTATTTTTATTTGATTTTTATTTAATTTCTTGTTTTATTTTTTTGTGTTCTGTAGACTGTGCTACACATCATCTGATATTTATGTATATTGTTGGTAATATATTTGTCTTCTTCAAATATTGTGTCACATCCTAAAAAGTTAAAATGTGATACTTTTCTTACGGTCTACTTAATTATTGTTATGTTGGTTCTTACAAGGTATTTTCCTTTAAAAACTATAATTGTTGTTAACTGCCATTTTTAAATTCTTATTATTGCATCAGAAAACAGGCAAAACTAGATAATAACTTTCTTTCGTCAATAATACTGGTGATGAACCTTGGTGCCATTATCCATTCAGTTCACTGTCACCAATGCAATAGAAACACGCATATTCTCCGCCAAGTTCAACCTTCTACAAGGTCATGTTATATCCGTGATTGAAGAGCTCTAGGTTATTGAACAAGAAAAATGAACACGGAGGATGCGGCACAGTGGACGAAAATGCCGATCCTGAATATAAGAGATTGAGTGGACTGTGTCCACAGACGACTTGACGCAAGTGCTCACAGTACACAGGTGTTTTAGGGCACACCTTCTAGTATCGGAAAGGCTGACACAGATGAATGCCTATACTGTGCATATTTGGACACTGTGACACATACGATGTTAGATTGCAGCAGATGGATAGTGGAAAGGAACAGAATGGAAAGAGAGACAAATGTAAGAGTGAAAGATGCTGAAAGTTGAAGCTAGAAAAGTGAGTCAGACTGTATGAGTTAGAATGCGTGAGTCCGACTGTGGGGAAGGAGGAAATGCCCATCTGGGAATGATGTCGTACTAGGAGCGATGAGGGTCTTCTACGTGCTACCTGGAACGAGACAGGGAGCCTCCTTGCTGATGAATAGATTATGGATGTCTATGAATGAAGAATGAATGAATAAAGGTAGTGCTTCGGAAGTGATGCCTTACACCAGCCATTCCGTTTCCGGATCGCTGGATGACAGAGAAGGGTCTGGTTTAGCAGTTAGCGTTTGGCGTAGACTCGGCGACGAGAAGGCATTTTAAAGTACCTAAGGAACTATTGACGGGAGTACGAAGAACGAATCCTGCACTAGTCAGTTAGGCGGCGTCCTGAACTGAGATGTCTTTTGAAAATTCCAGACACCCTCTATAAAGACGAAAAAAAAATTATTTAAGAAACATTTTACTTCGTTCTTTACTTTTAACATTAAAATAGTCCATATGGCTATAATTTCTTAAAATTATTGAGATACCACTGTTTAAAAGTAATGGTCGTAAAAAATATCATAATATAAAAAAAAAATATCATATACTCACCCACGCCTGGTCACAAGGATAGGCAGTGAAATTGATTGGAATATATTTTTCGTATACTTCTGTATCAATTTCAGGATTAACGATTTCATAGTGTATTGCGAATGGAGCTACCATATTATCCGGATTATTCATAAAATCGAACCATCTATAAAACGTTGAAATTTGAGTAGTAAAGACATATCTATACTGGCCAAAAATTGAGCGTTTTCTCTAAGTGTTTTTACGTATGCGTTGAAATTTAATAGTGGCAATAGGTTTGCAATAATACGTGTAATGTTGGATATAGGATATAGTGGTATCAAAGGTTGATGAAGGCAGATCAAAGTTCCACGTCAAACATGAATGTTAACTGTCAAACGTCAAATAACACATGTCAAACATGCACGTCATAAGCCACGTAAAAGTATTTTTAACTAAAAAAAATCTTATAAAGATATATAGGAAAAAATGATCAATTTTGAGCCAGGTAACAGTATAACAATTTACTTTAGGTAGATAAATCTGTATTTATTAATATTGTAGTACCTTTGTGGATTACACCAGAGAGCGCCGTAATTCCCGCAAGAACTTCCCATTACACTCTCGCCAGTGGCTGGTAAGGAGACGTCTTTGCAAGACTCATAAGTTTGGTTAATATATTTTTCATCTATATAAACAGTCACATCATCCGTATATATTTCCCCTAAAAAAATAACAGTAAATAAAGTAAAATAGGATAGCTGTCTAATATTTATATTTATTATTATCATCATAAAAATACGGTACAGTAGGCTACACAATATGTTTTCTGTGTTTTTAAAATTCAAATAATATTTACAAAATTGACTAAAGTGTTTTATTATTTATTTATTATCTATATTTTAAACAAATTTTATTATATTAAAATAATTCATTAAATAATATTTGCCCCTAACGCCACCTACTAACGTATTAACAAAATATACGTTGTTTACTTCTGACAGAATTGTCAAATTCAGATAAAATATTAAATTAATAATAAAGTATAAATAATGTATAGTAAATTTAATTATTGTATAAACTAAAGATGTTTTAAAATAATAATTGTATTATTATAAAATTATTTTAAAACGAGAAGTGTGACACAAATTTAAATAGATAATTTAATATTGTTATTATCTGGATAACACTTACGACTTTTAAATTTTGATAATCGTTGCAAAACGAATCTTTTACAGTTGCGTCTATGGTTCTACCCGTGCGTAATTAATACCTGGCGTGATAAAACACACACTTTTTATCTAGCATCTTTGTCTTCCACGCATGAAACTAAAGACCAACCAGCTACCACCTATTATGAAATAGTGACACCTTATTTTTATGAACGCTCTAGACCAGGGGTTCCCAAACTGAAGGGCGCTTCCCCTGGGGGTCATGAGAACATGTCAGGGAGGGGCGCGAGACAAGTCAAAAATTAAATTAAAATTAGGTAGTCTTTAGTAGTTTTTAGGAACTGTTTTTTGTTTTTTTTTTTATTTCAATTAAAAATATTAATATATTGTACCCTGTTTCACTTAAATTGGTGAAGAAAAAAGAGGAAAAGGAAAATGAAAAAATCCTGTTTTATCTTTTCTGTAAAAAATTAGACCTCGTTGAACCCTCAAACGGGCGCACCCGTGTATTTTGTACACGTCCAATAGAAAAAGTCGTCTAAAAATAGAAGTGTCGTCAATCTGGCGATATCATCGCGCCTATTCGTCCAGTAGAGATCTGTCGTTCGAATAGTTGAGTAATATTTTTTGTTGCAGCTTAGTTTTGTGAGAATTCTTAGAAATACGAGAGTGTGACGGTTTTGTGTACATAATACACGGCGCGCCTTCTAGTGTAAGTATTTTATCCATTAATTATTTTACTTTATAAAAAGTTGTAATTCGAAATTAAAGTTAAATTAACATTAGTTTTACTTTATTTTAGGTTGAACAGGATATTGTAACATAATTGAGAAGGAATATAACTACGCTGAGAGAATATTATGTAAGAATTTAGTTGCATTGTTATATTATTTGTGCGTTACTTTTTTTTATTTTTGCAGGGCTAGAAAGAAGTTTTAGCTGAGGCTGAGTTATATAAAATTCTTAATGAAGACCCAGAAACAGTGAAATAGAATATTCCGATGAATCTGAGACAGATGAAGAAATAATATACTATGATGACCACAATTCTGAATCTGAACAAGAACAGAATGACCACGACAGAGCCAGTAACTTCGAGGATAATACTGCAGTAAGTACGACTGTTTTCGAATATTTTCAAGGTAAAGATAAAAAAACTGCATGCCGTAAGACTCCGCTTTCGTCGCAATCAAAAATTAAAAAGAAAAATATCAAAATACTTCCAGGACCAAAGGCAGTGGCTTCAAAAGTGACCTCAGAACTTTCAGCTTTTGAAAAAATTATAGATTCTGATATATTAGAGAACATCATACAATTTACTAATTTGTACATTGATAGTAAAAAAGAATCTGTTCAATATAAAAGAGAACGAGATATCAAACATACTTCAAAAAGTGAAATAATGCCGTTACTGGGAGTGCTTTACCTCCTAGGCACTAAAAAGGATAACCATACTAACGCACTTGAACTTTGGACATCTGATGGAACAGGTATAGAAATTCTTAGAGCTGTAATGAGTTACAAAAGATTTTTATTTTTGTTACGTTCAAATTCACCAATTAGAAAAATATTGGACGCATTTGTTAGTAACTGCAAAAATTTCTATAATCTTGGTGAATTTGTTACAGTAGACGAAAAACTAGAGTGATTCAGAGGACGTTGTAGTCTCATCCAGTATTTACCAAATAAACCAGCAAAATACGGTATCAACCTGTTCATTTTGGGCGATGCACAAACTTACTTTGTTGGAAATTTAGAGGTTAATTGTGGACGGTAAGCTGAGGGGTCTTATGCTGTATCAAACTCTCCCAGTGATATTGTAGATAGGCTTATTGATTATATAAAAGGTTCAAATCGCAATTTGACAACCGATAATTAGTATACCAGTTATCCTTTAGCTATTTCCTTTTTGGAAAATAAAATAACTACAATTGGCACTTTGAGAAAACTACCTTTGAGAAAAGGGAAATACCTATTGAATTTTTACCCCAAAAACAAAAAGAAGTGGGAACGTCACTCTTTGGATTCCAAAAAAATGTCACTTTGGTTTCATTTGTTACAAAAAAAAGTAAGTCGGTCATACGTTTATCCACGATGCATGACACTGCCACCGTAGACGTCGAAACTAAAAAACCAGAAATTATTCTAGATTATAATGCCACAAGAGGCGGTGTGGATACTATTGACCAAATCTGTGCATCATATTCTGTAAAAAGAATAACCAGAAGATGGCCACTAATTATATTTTTTTCTTTAATGGATATGGCGGGTATCAACGCGCATGTGTTGTTTTGTGCCAATAAAACAAATCCCTAAATATGTCGACGAATTTTTCTAAAGAATTTATGCTTGAGTTTAATGAAAGTACATCTTTCAGAAGGAGCGACAATGCTATCTTCCTCAGGATGTTCAAGGTTTTCTAATGAAATATAAATCATGTGAAGAACCTACTAGAACAGAAGTGCAAAGCTCTAGAAAACGTGGACGTTGTGCAATATGTCCAGGCTCAAAAAATTCCAGCATAATAGTTAGATGTGGGCTATGTAGAATATTTGTATGTAAAATGCATTCAGAAACCACAATTATCTGCGTAAAATGTAAGAACAATGAACGGCAGCAATCAGAAGAAATCAAGTGAAGTAACCCGTAGGTACATGTTTCATGTTTATTATTTTATGTAACAATAAACTGTTTTTGTAAATCGTGGTTGTCATTTTGTTAAAACGCACTAAATTTGGTAAAATCAACTAAAATGTGTTTTGTGTACAAAATACACAGCGCGCCCGGTTATGAAACGGTAGTTGGCGCGCCTGCTGTAGGGTTAAGAACTAAATCTACTGATTTACCTGAGGGTAATAAAATGGCAATTCGAAATTCAATATATAATATAGGCTTACTATAATACCTTGACAAAGTGTGTAGAACATACTAACAAACTAATTGAACAGTGGTTTATTAAAGACGAAAATATGTGTAATATTATTATGGAACCTGTAATAATTAACATTGGAGATAGCAGTTCAGATTATGAGGGTGATGAAAATGAAATATAAGAAATGAAAGCATACGTTCAAAATCTTACAATAATACTACTTGAGCTAAATAATATTTCACGTTTTAAATAATCTTGCTGTTACGTATTATAAAAATGATATGATGATGATTATTAAACGATAATAGACGAACATGAAATTCGAACAACCTGATGTAATTATATAAGTGAACTGTATAATGATGATAGACCCGAAGAACCGGAGACTTTAGTTGAAGGTAAAGGAGCAGAAATACTAAAATCAGAAATACTGCATGCTATAAAGTTAGCAAAGAACAAGAAAGCCATTGGCCCTGATAACATACCGACAGAGATGTTAAAGCTTATAAATGAGGAGAACATTGGAATACTGGTCAAACTTTTCAATGATGTTTATTCGACTTGTGATATCCCTGAAGATTGGTTAAAGTCCGAATTCATAACACTACCAAAAAAATAACGTCCGAAAAACTGTAGCGATTATAGAATGATACGCCTTATGCGCCACACTTTGAAAATATTTCTACGCATCATCCACAGTAGAATCAGAGATAAATGTGAAGAAGATCAGGATGAAACACAATTTGGCTTCAGAAATGGACTGGGAACTCAGGACGCCCTCTTGCACTAAATGTATTACTGCAGAAATGTCGAGATCAAAGGAAAGACGTCTTTGCTGTATTTATTGACTATGAAAAGGCCTTTGATCGAGTACAGTATCAGAAATTAATTACAATATTAAAAGATAAAGGAATTGATAGTCAAGACATACGATTCATAGAAAAGTTATACTGGCGTCAAACAGCGACAGCTTGCATAAACGGAAAATCAACAGAAATATGTAAAATACAAAGAGGTCTCAGAGAGGGTTTTATACTATCCCCACTGTTATTTAATTTATATTCAGATAGAATATTTAAAGAAGCGCTGCATAATTTGGAATGGGGCGTGAAAGTTAATGGAATTCTGATAAATACAATCAGATATGCAGACGATACAGTTATTTTAAGTGATGACATGAATGGATTACAATGCCTTTTAAATGCCATTGATACAATGGGAAGAGAGTTTGGCCTAAACATAAACTGTGCAAAAACAAAACACATGGTGTTTGGCCGTTTAGCACATCAAGATGCACGAATATATGTTGATGGCCATATAATTCAAAGAGTGTCCAGTTTTAAATATCTTGGTTGCCATATTACGGAACAACTAGATCCAGATCAAGAGATAAAATGTAGAATCGAGATAGCCCGCATGACATTTTTAAAAATGAGGTCATTCTTCTGTAATGATAACTTGCAAATTCAACTTCGCAAGCGCATGGTTAAATGCTACATTTGGTCAGTCCTCTTATACGGTGTCGAAGCATGGACATTAAAAATATCCACCATTAATCATCTGTAGGCCTTTGAAATGTGGCTGCACAGACGTATACTAAAAATTTCATGGACGGCTATGCTGACAAATGTGGCAGTCCTTGAGAGAGCAAATGCTGCTCGCGAGCTGCTTGATAACATCAAATGTAGAAAGATGGCCTATTTTGGATACGTAGTAAGGGGAGACTGATATAATATTCTTCAACTTATTATGATGGGTAAAATCGAAGGACGCAGAAGAATTGGTAGAGAGTAGGCTTCTTGGTTGAAGAATATCAGGGAGTGGACAGGAATAAAGAAAGCTGAGCAACTATTTTAGCTCGAGACAGAGACAGTTTCGCCATGTTAATCGCCAACGTCAAGGGGACTTGATAGGGTACGTTAAGAAGAAGAAGAAGAAGAAGAAGAAGAAGTTACGTATTACATCAATACACTGTAAATATTATTGTATATTTATTTAATTTTTTTAAATATTATTTATTTAATAATTGCTAATGATATTAAAAGAATTTATTAATCTATTTTAAATGAAGCTGTAATTCTGCTTCCAAATTTTAAAGCCAAACGTGATTGGAGCATGTAGCATTTTAAAATTCTTTGGTATATATTGAAATCCCCTCGTATGTTTTAAAACACCGAAGAATAATTTTGGTTTATTTCTATTTCCTTCCTTTCCTAAGTTAAAGCATCCAAAAAGTATGTTCAATTCTTTTTGCGTCGACGAGTTGATAATATACACATTTAAGAGTTTGTTTATCTACGTTTCAAATAAACATTCATGGAGATCGCTGAGTGTTTTGGCGGAAAGATAATTGCGACACTCTCGCTGAGGCCGTTATCAAGAGCGGTTGGCTTCAGTAAAAGGCGTTTAGAACCTTTCCATTTACCCCGAGGTGACAATAATACCCTATGTGGTAGACAAAATATTCGTTACAAGCAGTAGCCACTTTCTGTTGCTTGGATCAAATTTAAGACTTATTTCGTATGCTTTAAATGATGACGCGCTGGTAAAGAACCATGTACTCAACTGTATATATGTGATTTTAGTTCGTAATTTTGAAAAATACTTACATGTCTCAAGATTAATATGGACATTATGATCTTTTACAAATTCAAGTTGTTTTGGTGAACATGAGAACTGACAGAAGACACTTTCCATATTTGTAATGCAAGTTTCACACCTCTTAAATGGGGCAGCACTTGCCAAATTATCGCCCAATGTCATCACTTGATCTACGTCACAGCAGAGGTCGATTGGTTCTGAAACAAAAAGAACTAAAGTTAGTCTAAAGCAAAAAAAAATATTCTTGTAGGAATGAACAATAAATTGTAAATAAAATATTTATTATATATCTTAAACTCCTGAATAACAATTTCTTGATCATATATACCCTGCAAGATGGCTAAATCTTGATAACTAGTCGTCATTATTAATTTTGTAATGACGTATATGTCGAAAAAGAATCTATTAAACAATTAATCTAAAAAGACTATAATGAAAGTACTGCTTTGGTCAACTGCATTTTCACCAAACGATTCCCAAGCTAGTTGTATTCTTCTGTAGGTTTCTAGGAGTCTTCTTCTTAAGGTTCCATCTTCTAACGAAGGTTGGATATCAACATGGCAATTCTTACTTTACTTACAGCAGCTCTAAATAGTTGGCTAGAGCTCAGACCAAACCACTCCCTTAGATTTCGTAGCCAGGAGGTTCGTCTTCTTCCTACATCTCGTTTACCTTTTATTTTGCCCTCTATAATCAAACGTAGTAGCCCATAACGAGGACCTCTTAATATATGACCGAAATATTCAAGTTTCCGCCTCTTAATTGTCTGTACAATTTCTTCCCTCTTATTAACCCTATCAAGGACTTCAATATTGGTAACCTTGTCTACCCATGCTATTCGTAACATCCTTCGATAACACCAACGCTCAAAAGCTTCCAATTTCTTATTTCTAGGAGTATGAAGCCAGATTTATGTAATTATCCCAGATATACATACTCATCTACTGTCTACTGTCTCAACTAAAGTGTTGTTTATTATTACACCCTGGTCATCCACTAGCTCGCTGTACCTGGATTTTGTTTTCGTCAAGTTCATTTTCAGGCTAATTTCATTGCTAGCTGCATTTAGGTAGCTTATAAGTTCTTGTAGTTTTGCAGGATTATTAGCAATCAGATCTATGTCGTCTTCAAATCTTAGATGGCTGAGGTATTCGCCATCAATGGATATTCCTTCCTTTGTTGTGTTAGTGCCTTGATTGGTCAAAGCCTTCTCGAAATATGTGAAGGTTAATGCTAGCGGTATTTCATATTCTTCAGCTCTATTCAATAATTTTCGAAGCGTATGGATATGATCCAGGGTACTGAATCCATTTCTGAAGCCAGTTTGCTCTCTTGGTGTTGCAGCATCTAATGCATCTGTTAATCTGTTGATGAAAAGTCTTATTTATTTTCAAACTCAAAAACAACAATTATCATGACAAAAATATAAGTATTTTAAAACCGGGCAACTTTTATACCTATTAATCGTAGTATTTGTATTGATAATAGGTACTTACCTCCATTACTATCAACATAAAAAGGGCAATACTCTTTTAAGTAATTAACAGCTGCAAAATATTTTTCATGTGATGTGTTTAATGGTTTAGCATCATTGTCCATCCACTTTACACAATTCTGGGCATGACCCTTGTCGTCTTTGTGACACTGTCCATAAAATAAACATTTTGCTAAAGTGTTTGGTAGTAAAAGTAGAAAAAATAGGCTGTATACGGAATGGTAGAATTGACCTAAAATAAAATAATATTATACATCTTTTCGTCTTGTCATGTAGGTACTCATTTTACATTGTATTACCAGTGTTGTGAATGTTCTTTTCTTCGGCTATTAAGTTGTTAAATAATATATCGCTTGTATTATTTCCGTGAATTTAAAACAGTATTCCCGATTGCAACTCTGAGACCGTCCGAGGTCACCTTTATTTAATTTTTTTGACACCTCATTTTTTATTCTATTTATTCTAATAACGAAAGAGTTATAATATGTTCACGGACAGACAGACAGTCAGACATGGATAATTCGAGGTTTTTACCTTTTTTATGTTGTAAAATATATGAAAATAATAATTATTGTATATATATTTCCATAAAAAACATATTTCATCAGCAGAATTTTATTACCACGTATCAAACGATAATAATCTCATCTACTTATCTATTACTGATAAGAATACGTATGATCTTGATAGCCTTTGCTAATGCAACTGCGAAAAGTTAATGTAATAATTAAAAAATTTTAAATTTATTTTGAAAAATAAGTCGGTGATAAAAGATAAAAATAATATAGAAATATATTGACAGCTCTGTTTTGTAGATTACACAAAGGCTTTTGATTCAGTAAAATGGGATCCTCTCTGGAGTATAATGGAAAATATGGGAGTACCTAAACATCTAGTTAACCTAATAAGAAATCTGTATAATAAAAACTCAGTCAAAGTTAAAGTACAGGGAATATATTCAAATGCATTCAAAACAGAGAAAAGAACTAGACAAGGTTGCATACTATCACCATTATTGTACAACATATATTCTAAATATATAATGAGAAAAGTACTAGATGAATAGGATGGAGGAATCACTATAGGAGGCAGAAAAATCAGTAACCTGCGATAAGCAGATGACACACTTATACTAGCAGCGAATGAAGTCCAAATGATTACCATCATCGAACGGCTAAGCCGAATAAGTGAAGAATTCGGACTTCAAATCAACACCGGAAAAACAAAAATAATGATTGTAGACAGAGCAAATAATAATCTACCGCATATACGCCAAATAGGGATTTTCGAAGTAGTCGACAGATTTGTATACTTGGGCTCTCTGATAACCAACAATTGTGATTGTTCCTCAGAAATCAAACGTAGACTAGGAATGGCCCGAACCGCAACTGCTAAATTAATTAAAATATGGAAAGACCGAACAAGAACAAGGAATACTAAGCTCAGGTTGGTCAATGCCCTTATTTTTCCCATTGCTACATATGCAGCTGAAACATGGACTCTCAAAAAAATCGATAGGAGTAAGATCGAAACCTTCGAAATGTGGGTATATAGAAGAATTCTACGCGTGTCCCTGACAGAACATAGAACCAACCTGTCAATTCTGGAAGAGCTTCATATAAAAGACAGGCTACTAAAAAAAGTAAACCAAGCATACCTAACTTACTTCGGCCACATAGCTAGAAGAACGGGCACCATGGAACTATTGGTAGTAGAAGGAAAGGTAGAAGGTCGAAGACCAAGAGGAAGATCTCCAATACGATGGGTAGACCAAATGAAGAGTTTGGTGGGAAAATCCCTACATGAAGCCGTCCATATGGCACAAGATCGAAGTCAATGGAGACAGCAGACTAACAATATTTAGGGTGCCACTACGCCCTGACAAGGGCTAAAGGATTGAGGAGAAGGATATTGACGGATATACAGTGGAATATATTCGACAAGATAGTAGATTTAGAGTTTGCTATCTCAAACAGCTCCATATTAAAAAAAAAAGCTTCTGTATGGTGCGAAATAGCAAAAACTACAACAAAAATGGAAATAGTAAGCACATATACTTGAAAAAAATAAATAAATAGAAGTGAAATATCACAAGAAATTAATCTTTAGATTACAGATTTAATAATCAAATATTAACAAAAATTTCATTTTCAAAACAATTTTCTTTTGGCATATTTTTTAATAAATTTTTATAATTAACACCTGAGAATATCGAATCTAAAGAGAAAACGTTCAAGCTCTTATTACAGTACCAGTTGCCAAGATTAACAATTATTGATAAGCAGGCTCAAGCTGTGGATCTAGGAAGACCAAAACAATTAAACCAGTAAAAACGAAACAAGTAAACAAACATTCAAGCAGAGAATGAAATCTCCAGGGGAGAATGGAATTTTCCTGCCCTGCTACAAAAAGAAAGATTTTACATTTTATTGCCCATCCTCACAAAGATCTTTATAACTAGCATAACACTAGGTTATATATCAAAGACTTGAATAACTTTAAGAGTAGTGTACATACACAAAATGGGCTGATCAGTTGAAGTTCATTTCTGTTGCAGACAATAACAAAAATTCTTGCTAGATATATTGAGGGGCCATTGAGGATGATTCTCTCATTGACAACTATTAAGTCCATTAAGACGGAAAATCAATAGAAATAACTAGAACTGGAAGTTCATAAAGTAAGTCATTCCATTAATAATGGAGAGATTGCGTTAACCGTTTTTCTGGATATAGAAGGCACATTTAATAATGTACTACCAAAGTTTCTTTAAGGTGCAGCAGAATCAAAAGGAATTTCCACTACCATATGCAGCTGGATCATAGCAATTCTGGAAATTAGGCTGATTCTAACAGACCTTCAAGGAAAGAAGCTGTTTTGTGGCCACACAGAGGAGGGATGACCACAAAGAGGGTGTTTCCTTCCCTGCAGTGACCACTTATAGGGAAATAAGGCTAAATATTAGTAAAAGCTTAAGTTATCACTCCACTATCTTCCAAGCAGAAATTAATACTATAGAGATGTACCTATAGGAACTAATTAAGATGAACCGAAGAGACATGTGAAACTAAGTGAAACATTCCAGAAACAACCTTGGAACCAGAGAAGCACTCTTCAGTTTGCAGATCATGGTTCAAAGATGTAGGAATATCAACAATCTCATCTCATCTCATCATTTATTATTACCCTGTACTTATTGCCTCCAATGAAGAAGACCTGCAACGACTTATAAACAGGATAACCGAAGTATGTGATGAATATGGACGAAAACTTAATATTTCTAAGACAAAACTTATGGTTGTTAGCATAACGGAGTTACAACCAACGAACATCAGAGCTTATGAGTAGAGTTAGAAAGAGCCTACAATATTACCTTTTGGGCGCAAACGTTAAAGATAACTGGGATACAAATAAAGAAACAAGATTACGCATTGAAAAAGCCAGAGCCACCTTCTATAAATTCTAATTCTAATTCTAATTAATAGAGTTATTACGTTAAACCTTAAAATCAGATTTCTACGCTGCTACATATTCTCTACATTGCTGTATGGTGGAGAGCTGGTCCCTTACAGAGATATTATTGAAAAATTGGAGGCCTTTGAGATGTGGATTTATCGACGAGTATTGCGGATAAGTTGGGTTGATCGAATAAGAAATGAAATAGTTTTACATCGAATGAAAAAGAGCTCAGAAATAACAAAAACAATAAAAATTCGAAAGTTACAATATTTCAATCATGTAATTAAACATCCAGAGAGGTATACCTTTCTACACCCTATAATATAGTGTAAGATCGCCGGAAGACAGGCGCAGGTCGAAGAAGAACATCATGGCTCCTTAATTATTGCCAATATGATCGCCAACGTTCGATAATCGGACAGGGTACTGAAAGAAGAAGAAGAAGGAAGATATCCATAAAAAGTATTTCTGCACTACAATCTAATCGAATTGGCACAAAGTTAGTTTGGAACCATCTTGAGAATCTAATCGGATCTGAACGAATAAACTAAGTAAAGTAAGTTTACTCTGAGTTTCTGGACATACTGGTCTTGAATAGTTTGAAAAAGTTTGTGTAATTGCCAGGGAAGGGACAGAAAAAAACATTCATAGGCCCGGAACCTTTCGTTGAGAGCAGGTTGGTTAAAAAAAGATTATTTCTTTTAAAACTAGATTGAAGCCATCCCTGGCATAGCCTTTAAATGTGAGATATTGGTTTAATAAGCAATATACAAACCATCGAAAACATCTACCTCCAAAATCGAATACAGGCAAAGATAAATGAAAAACTAACACAGTGTATGTCAGTACAAAGCGGAGTCAGACAGGGTGGTTCGTTAAGCCCACTTCTTTTTAATATAATAATGGACGAAATAATACAAGCAGTGTATAAAAGTCATGGCTACAGAATGGGGAACAAAAAAATCCAAATATTATGTTATGCAGACGACGCCGCATTAATCGCCGAAACAGAACACGAGCTCCAAAGATAGTACACATCTTCTGTGCAACAGCCAAGAAATACAATATGATAATATCAGTAGAAAAAAATCAAATGTATGACAACATCTAAATACCCACTACGATGTAAAATCGAAATTGATGGGAAAATAATAAAGCAGGAAGCAAGGTTTAGATACCTGGAAATAGATATAAATAGTTACGAAGATGTTGAAGAAGAAGTACGACAACAAAGCTTAAAAGCAAGTTAAGCGGCGGAATCTCTTAATGACACAATCTGGAAGAGCAAACACCTAAGACAAGACACACAAACAAGAATCTATAAAGCAGCAATTAGACCTATATTAACATACACGTCGGAGACAAGTCCTGACACATCTAAAACGAGACAACTACTAGAAACAAAAGAGATGAAAATACTCCGATGAATATCAGGAAAAGTCTTTTGGATAGAGAGAGAAGCGAAAACATACGAAGAGCATACAATATAGAAGACATAAATCGATGGATGACAAAACTGAAACAGGAGTGGAACAAATACATTAGTAGAATTGCAGAGGATAGGATTGTATATATAGCAAGATAAGTCACCAAATAGACAAAGAAGTATTGGCAGACCAAGAAACAGAATGTACGACAATTTAAACAATTTAGGAAGTTATTATTAAAGAAGAAACAGGCTTTAATGCCTACATACAAGAAGGAAGAAGAAGTGATCTATAATAACAATCCAAATTATGCAGTAATATTTTTTCTTAACATACTGAAAATATAACATTAAGTATTTGTCATCCAGCAGAGTAAGTGTCTGTTTTGACTCATCCACTTATAAATTTTCCTGATGATTCATTTTTCTACTTTAAAACTTTAAAATGAACTCATAAATGAAATTTTAATCACGTGTCTGACAACTGCATTCGATACTTTAATCAATAGTTTCTAAACGGATGTAAAGTAAGCCTGGTCAAATGTGGATAATGAAGGTTTGTAATTTTAAAATAAAATAGCTTGTGCTTGAAATGTCATATGCTATCCGCAATGTACGGTGGTTGATATATATTAAAAACTAACACTTTCGGGTTTATATTTTTAAAAAATGTTAATAGTGCGTAATTTTGTTTTTGCATCAATGTAGTTAACTAAATTTACTTACTTGTTTTAAATAATAGCTCCATAACTGATAAGAAAACTAAGATTCACATTAGAGACTGGCTCAGATCACACACGATGATGATTTAAAACAAATAGCGTTTCAAGTATCAGATAATATTTATATTTTCAATGGAATTTGATAAAAAGCATTAACAAATGTTGATTACAAATCAAGTAAAATAGGACCGAGGTATTGATTTAAACAATATTTGCATATCTTTGTGATTTGATATGGTAATACGTTAATAATATGATGTCGAGTGGATTGTTAAGAGCGTTGATTCTCTCTGCTGGGGGTTTATCGTTAACAATTTAAATATTCAAAGCTTACAAACATAGTTGCTAGTCTGTAAGATAATAAGAATTATCTCTAGACATCCTTTTTTGATAAAGGTGTTACAACGTGTCTACCAAATGATCTTTGATTTCTACATATTCTTTGACCTATTCCCAACCGACTTTTCTTGTTTTTCTCATATCGTTGTGCCTTTTCATTATAAAATTATGCCATCTTTATCATAATTATTAATATCTTAGCCTTCATCTTTATGAGGGACCGGCTTTCCTAATAACATTTCTCCATAAGTTTCTATCTTGGGTCATATTAATAGACATGACCTGCCTAAACATTTCCTTCATGTCTTCTTTGGTTTTTCTCTCCTAGTACTTTCACGAAGCCATAGATCAAATTCTTTGTATTGAGCGAGTAACGTTTTGACGTTGAACATGACCAAACCATCTTAACCTATGCGCTCTCATCTTGGCATCAATTGCTACCATCTCTTCTTCTTAGAATGCCGTCTCCCTACGAAGGTTGGCAATCGTAATGGCTATTTTTATTTTTGAACTTGCTTCTCTAAACAAATCAATCGATCTGCATTGATACCAATCACGTAGATTCTTTAACCATGAGTTCTGCCTTCGGCAAACAGATTTTCTTCCTTGAATCTTTCCCTGTATTATGAGTTTCAAAATTTCATATTTTGGACCCCTCATCACGTGGCCTATGTATTCCAGTTTTCTGGTTTGTATAGTGGTGATTAGTTCTGTTTCTTTACCAACCCTCTCCAATACTTCTTTATATGTAATTCTATCAGTCCATGATATTTTTAATACTCTGCGGTATAACCAAAGTTTGAAAACATCGATTATTTTTAAATTGCATTTTTTTAATGTCCAAGTCTCAGCTCGATTTAATAATATTGAAAATATTTATCAGCGCATGGTACGTAGTCTGATCTCCAAATTTATATGTTTGCATGTTAGGAGTGGCTTCATTCGTATAAATGCTGATCTGGCAATCTCTATTTCCCTGTTTATTTCTGCAATATGATCATTGGTTTCATTGATCAAAGTTCCCAGTACTGATATTTTTCTACTTGTTCTATCACGTTACCATTCATTGTCAATATATGATGTATATTTTGTGGTCTTTTGTAACTAGCATGTACTTCGTTTTTAAGCGTTTATAGTAATTCTCCTCTCAGTAATATTCATACTTAAGCTTTCAATAAGATGTTGTAGATCTTCTATACTCGTTGCTATGATCACAGTGTCGTCTGCATATCGTAAGTTGTTAATTAATTTTCCGTTAATTAATTTGCTTTTTAGGGATGGTTATAAATGCTGACTTTAGTCACTCTTGCGGTATTATTCTATTATCGTACACCGTGTTGAATAAATCTTTTTACCTTCAAGCTGTCTTGCATGTGGTAATAATATGGTCTCAATCCAGTCTGTAAAACAAGTTACCTCCATCCACCCATTTTTTGTTCGGTTATATTTAGCTCCTCTTACGCAACATCCACTACTACAACAAGGAGAGCCCTGTGGACCCCCTAATGTCCACACATCTTACATATGTTCGCTGCGATATATTATATAAGGAGGGAGTAATGTGCCATCAGCAGCACCGCACATTATTATTGATGTGGCGGCTTTTCTATGATTAGTGATATGCTCTGGGTATTTGGTCCCTCTTCTATATAGCAATCTTCTTTTCCCCGGATCATCACTAACGTTGGTTTCATTGTAATTGAAAACGTGCGATGGAGGGCAATTTGAGAGAGTTGTTTTTAAATTATTCAACTATGATTATATCAATTACTATTTAACTGGGAATAAGCCACAATTAAAGATAAAAAAATACTTTTATTGACGTTTTACTTGAATTGAATTTACTGTTTGTATTTTAAGAACGATTTCCGAAGTGGAAATTGAAACGTCAATAAACGTATTTTTTTTATCTTTAATTGTCTCTTATTTCCAGTTAAATAGTAATTAATTTAAAATGCCACAAGAAAATAGCTTCAGAACAATATGATTATATCGTTTCTTTTGTAACACCTGCCCCAGCTCTAGTAATGTTAGACGCAACTCGTTTAGCGATTTGCTGCCTATGCCTCTCTAAAATATGGGTTACCCAGTTATCACCAGGACTTACCCCGTTTTTAAATTTAGAAATAATTCTTCCAGTTCTTTCTAAATAACTTTTAGTGAAAAGTTGTTCCAACATCGATAATGGAAATCCCCAATCGGCACATTTAACAATGCAGGTGCCAACACAATTGATTTTTCCTCCAGTGCCGACAACGCAGTTGGGCCCCCTGGTTTCTTCCCATGCTTCCCTTTCTATATTTTGTATAAAGCACCATACTTTGCTACCATACTTTAACAGACAAGTTTCGAATTACTGTTTGAAGCAGAGCATGTTCAAGAGTTTCGTCAGAGAAGTTCTTGTAGCTTCTTGATCCCAGCTTTCGTTTATAAACTCGCAGCATTTTGGCTTTTCATATAGATAGTGATGAAAACCTGAAATTATTTAACGGTATGAAGTTTCATTAAGAAAACTATAAAAAGAAATAAAATATCAAAGTCAGCCCGAAAAATGTATCAAAGTGACTCCGGAGAAGAAATCTTGTAATTTCATGAAGTAGTCACGGAAATAACTTAGGTTAAATATTTTAAAATATTGACAGTTAAACATAAATTAAGGCAACATACACAAAATTGTGTATGTTGCCTGTACTGTACTGTATGTTTTAATTTAGTTACACAATCTAAAATCTTCAAGTTAAAACAAAAACTTCAACAGTGCATTTATAAGGGTGTACTTTTGATATTCGCCACAAACACCTTCCGCTTCCGCTACAGTTAATCAACATGTGCACTGAAATTAAGTTCAGACAACCACCATAACGGATGAAACATTTGGGTTGCATACCCTCTTGAAACAAAATATTCGTGTTCTATCAAAGTCACCTCATAGAATCAAAGTCACTTCATTCTACGGTATCGATTTTGCCTCACTATATATTCCAGATAAGACATTTATCGGTGTTTTACAGTATATCGCCTTAAATATTCCTAAAAAAAATTATAAACAAATTAGATGGATTATTTGACAATTTAATCATTTAAATAATACATAATCATAATGTACTCAAAAAGTGCAGACATATTAGCATCTTCTAAATTCATAAATAAGAACCAGAGATAAAGTTAACAGCTTCTTCCCCCTCCCCTGCTCCAACTAGTTTCACGGCCGGCCGATTTTAAGGAACAAATTTTTGAAGTTTTGTGGACGATTCCAGTAAAATCATTTTCCAATTTTGCATAAAAATTGTAAAGCATGTTCTTTTAGATGACCCCAATAAGATCCCTTAATTGTTATAAACAAAGCTGCTATCAATTAAAAAAAAGTACTAACTTCGTCCTAAATTGTCCTAGGTAAATATTTTTCTTTCTTTTAAATGTGTAACTAAATGCTGGCTTTTTAAATATAAAACAATAATTTTCTGGCAGACAATGAGTAAAAAGTTATTCTAATTGTTTATAAGCAAAATTCGACATGTATTTGCAAAATTATTTTGCAATATTTAAAATTTTTTTATAATATTAATAGGATTAATCTTATTTCAGAAGATACCCGATAATTGTTCGACTTTTTTCATATTTTAAGCACCACATTTTGAAATTTACTAAGTAATAAATAGGAAAAGGAATAATTAAAAAACGACATTTTGAAGTTTTTTACTCTCAAATTTGTTTCAAATGCTTCACTTTTTTCTGATATATGAAAAAAGCAAAAATTTACCGTTTTTTGACTTTAATTTGTTAATAATTAATTAAGTGGTATTCCTAATATTATTCAAATAACGTTAACTACTATATTCTGTTTTTTCTTACTCTTTTCTGCGTTTCTCATAATATGTTAGAATATAACAATAATACAATATTGTTTCGCGTTATAAATTTTATAGTTTTTGCATAATTCAATTAGATCTTTAACAATTGCAGGAAATTTTAAAACATTCAAATGTGTGATTTTTGTGTAATTTTTTGATAATTGTTAATATTTATCATCCAATTTAACACTAGTTAATTGCGAATAAATTTTAAAATAATTATTAAACATGTAAATAATATTAGAAAAAATACCAAATCAAAACAAGTTTTTATTTTACAAAAAAAAGGTAATTAGTATACCGGCTGGTTTTAGTTTTAAGCATTTGGGGCTTCTTCTTCCTCTTTTGGTATCATGATCCAGAATAAGTCGTTGCCTCTTTGGCTATGTCGTTCCACTCATATATTTATTGTGCCCCTCTCCTCCAATGAGAATATTATAAAAATTATTAGTCCACTTACCAGAGGGTTTTTACCTCCGAATTCTTTATAGCTAAATCGATTCATTTGAAATTTTGTGTGTTGGTAAATAATTACTCAAGGAACAAAATTTATATAGTGCCGATGTGCGCTACCACCCTGTGGGTCTTTGCCAACCCTTTTCGAGGATGGAAATTTTTCAGTCAAAATAACCACGCTATTCGATAGAAGGAGAAATTTCAAACGAAAAATATAGTAAACATTTTTTCGCTAGATCAATACTTTTTGAGTTATTCGCTGTTGAAAAGTGTCATTTTTCGTTAAAAAAAAAACATGTTTTTCAAAGTTTTTTTAAGGATAGCTCTAAAACTAAGAGTTTTATCAAAAAAAAAAGTGTAACGACTAAAATTAAAGCTCATAAAAAAAAGATTGGCTTTTTAATGAATATTTTCAGTTCAATATTAACTGAGTTATGGCTGTTCAAAGAAGGTTTGTTTTTGTTTTTGTCTTTCAATTCGAGTATTTAACGTTAAATATCGGAAAACAGGTACATT